TCAAATTGTACAAGTGCGCTGCACCACTTAAAAATGCCGCGTGTTGATCTCGTTTTCGCAAAATTCTTCGGCTTTTCTGAAAACTTTGAATGAAACCTAAAAATCAAAATAAAAGTTATGAAATTATAATTGAAGAAAATTAAAGTAAAGATTAGCTTCCTCTGGGATATCTTCGTTTTCAGATTGGTTGCTGTATTTCTGAACATGGCCTGTTTAAACCTACTATTTCTATATGAAATCGTACAAATTTAAAACAGCTTTATATTAATTCTCGAGTCAGGAACTTCAGATACGCGTCTTAAGGGTCTCGATTAAAAGCTAAAGTGATTAGCTTTCAGCCTATACCCCCTTTCATTTTTCCTTTACTGTCCCTTTAAAAAAGAGACTATAAGGAAAAAACATCTCACTTTGCATAGAACCCACAAGTAAAAATTAACAGTTTTCAGAAACAAAAGCATGGATGTACAATTCATGATTGATAAGACAAGCATTTAAGGGTATCCGCTGTACATTGAACATGCCACTCGAGCCCATTAGCGCCTGATCCAATCAGGGTTCAGTCATGTGTTTGTTGTCTATTCTGAACCAATAGAAATAGTATGGCGGTATCAGCTATCATTCTATCTATCTCATTATCCAATTAGAGATGAATCCTTTTATCGGTAAATGGAAATATCTACTACTAAACCACCGTGACTCTATCCTTGGAGGTGTCCCGACATTTGCAGTCCAATATTTAGCATTTGAAATCATTCCCCCTGATAATATCTATTAAAATACTTGATGAAGATGACAATCATCCTTTTTTAAATTTTTTTTTGGCTTAACCAAGTGATATTACCCCCCCGGGTGACCTTGAATTTTTTTTTGGGGGGGGGCTGTTGAAGAGTTGCCCCTCACCTTGGACTAACCACTAACCATGGCTATACATGTTAAATTTTGTTAGTTTTTTTATTAAAAACGCGTCCGCCAACAACATTAAAGCATAGAATGCTTGATCCCCAATTTAAATGTTTTCTCTGCAGGGTATAACCATAAAGTAATCTGTAGATCTGCACAACAGGGAGATCAATGCTTGATCCGGAGATGTACAACACAAAAGTTCCCTGACTTCAGATTATACTTTTAGTTGTGTGGGAAGACATTGACCCTATTTTTATTATTTAAAAAGATGCTTTAAGTTTACTAGTTTTTATTTCAAAGGCTTTTATATACTGGTTGAAATTATTAAAACTAACACTTAAGTATTATATACTCAAGCAAGAGATGCATAGTATAACATTTCATTTATTTGTTATAGTATAAAATACCATTATCCTGATTATCCTGAATTTTCCTTAAATGTATTGTATGTAAATGAAATGTAAAGAGTTTCTATATCGGGTTGTCAATGAAACAAATGTTAAATTAGGCAGACTGCTGGTAGGATTGTATTGTTTTGCCGCGGGCTTAGTTTTTAAAAACAGTAGAGAGTCAACCTTATTATCATATTGGTTAGCTCGTTTGTTCTGATATAAAATGTGTACTCTAGTCAAATTGGGAAGATAAATTTTTGATGAGGAAAGAATGAAAGGAGTTTTGTTTTAAAAAGAGATGGTTAATTACAGGTTTAGGCCGGTCAGCGGGATTTATTGAAAACATTAGAACTGAAGTGGGTCAACCAATAATCGAAAATATTTTCAAAAAATGTGGGAATAACACCTATTTTGTTAACTTTGTGAGGTTTAGAAGATCTTTAATACCTAATTTTAAATTTACTAAAAAGTGCTGCATACCAAAAATACAGCTAGATTTTTTTTACAGGAAATTTTATCCATCAATTGGATTTTAAGAATTTCAAAGCATTCGGTCAAATTATTTCTTGAGAGATCGTAACTTTTGGATATTGTTAATCTTAAACTTTTGATCTTGATACCCAATGTGGACACTTTTTAAATCTAATGATCAATGCTTGATCCCTCAATTAAAGCTATCCCTGCAGTGTATAACCACCACGGGATATTAAAAAGGAATTAGCTTAATCCGTAGATTTCTATGTTAAGATGTAGATAAATGCTTGATATTAAGATTATCAATGCAAAATTTCTGACTTCAGTAAACACAGATTATTAGTATCCAAAGTCCCCGGCGTTGCCAGTGGAGTTTTAAAAATTGAACCGGCTGTTGGTAACATATATACATACAGACTATTACTCCCTGCTGTATAATCTTAGAATGTTGCTTATTTGAATTTGTATCATTTTTTCATTTTCTTTTAACTTAATTTTTTAACTGAAAAATAATTTCAATTATTGACATGATGTATTCTGTAGGAAAATTAAATTTTGTTTGATATTAGTGAATATGCTTACGATTAGTCTCAATTATTTATGTTTTGAACAAATGTATTTTTTATCGTTTTTGATGAAAACTGATATTTCCAAGTTACGCAAAAAGTCTATTTAATGATGTGTTAATTGCTGCCATTTTTGCAAATTGCTCAAGTCTCACTTTTGAAACTTAAAAAGATCATTGATTCAATCGGAATTTTTTAATTTAAACCTAAATGTGTGAATCATTTGTATCCAATGAAATAAAAGGATTGTTAATGAAATACTAATCGATACTTACAAATAATGGAAACCTTAGAGCTTAAAAGGGAGATAATTTCAGTCCTATCCTTGCTTTTCTATGCTGTAGAGTTACACTTATTAAAAATTAAATCACATCCGGCATCATATAAATAATAATTTAAAAATAAAGGACTATTTAAAATTTCATTGACTGTCCCTTTAAGATTTAGTACTTTGATGTATATTAGTAGGAAGCCATGACCTAATCTGTTACTCTTGGATACAGAATTTGCATTATTCAGTTCAAACTGTTTTGCAAAAATTTAAATTGCAAATTACAGAATCTGTGTGAAGAATCAACAACGTATTAATGACTCAAATATGGTGTTTCATAACACATTCATACAGAAGTACTATAACTCTTGGCTTAAAGTACATTTTAGTACTTATATAATATGCTTACAGTACATATTGTAGAGTGTCTCATCGTACATGAGAATGTTTTTAAGTACATGGTTATTCAGACAGATGAGATTTATAAAACTACCAAAAATCATTAGCAATTTGTGTGTTTTATCTGTACTTGCTTGGAATTTGTCTTTAAACTTAAACTTTCTCTGTACAAGTCAACCCAGGCAATTTATTACTTAAAACCCAAACTATAAACATTCCCCTGGTTGTACGCCTAGTTCAATAATAAATATGCGAGGCAATTCGGTCATGGGGTTGATGATTTAAATGATGGGTCATATAAATGTATAAAGAAGTATTTAATAATTATAATAATCATGAAAATAAAATAGTTGTATCTGAAGTCTCATACTATTTGGTTAACTATGTGCATGCACGCACTGGGTATCTAGTTTCATAAGAGAGCACCGCCACCCCGCCACCCAATAATTTATTATTTAAATTTTTAAAAATCACTAAATACTTTAGTCTGACATTTTAGTACTTTTTAATATGCTTTTCTAGAGAGATATCATTACGATTAGGGGCCCTTCTTCAGTTGAGCCAATCTTTAGTTGAGCCAAGGGACCCTTCTTTAGTTGAGCTAAGGGGCTGCCTTCTTTAGTTGAGCCAAGGGGCGGCCTTCTTTAGTTGAGCCAAAAGGCCCTTCTTTAGTTGAGCCAAGGGGCCCTTCTTTAGTTGAGCCAAAGGGCCCTTCTTTAGTTGAGCCAAAGGGGCCCTTCCTTAGTTGAGCCAAGGGGCCCTTCTTTAGTTAAGCCAAGGGGCCCTTTTTCATAGAATTTAAACACTTGTTTTCAAGTTGAAGTATGCTGAATTCATTTTCTACGATGAATCATTTATTTACAGTGTAGTGATACAAGCTCAATTTAGGCTTAATATGTGCGAAAATATTTATTATGTTAAACCTAGTTTATACAAGATTAGATTTGACAAAATTATAGTTTATGATGTAACTTCATGGCAAGCTTTAAATCTGGGTCATGATGCATATTTTTAAAATTTTATCTTATGATGCATATTTTAAAAAGTAAATTTCATAATTTAGCTTTGTTAAATTATATTTAATGATGCAAGCTTTGTGAAATCTATTGCTCATGAAGTTAATTGGTGTATTTCTCATGATGCATCTTTGTGAAACTACATTTAATGATGCAAACTTTGTGAAATTTTATCACATGATGCAGCGTTGTGAAATTATACTTCTGATGCAGTGATGTGAAATTTTACTTTATGATGCAGCGATGTGAAATTATACACCATGATGCAGCGATGTGAAATTATACTTCAAGATGCAGCGTTGTGAAATTATTCTTCATGATGCAGCGTTGTAAAATTATACTTCATGCTGCAGCGTTGTGAAATTTTACTTCATGATGCAGCGATGTGAAATTATACTTCATGATGCAGTGTTTGAAATTATACTTCATGATGCAGCGTTGTGAATTTATACTTCATGATGCAGCATTATGACATAATATTTCATGATGCAGCATTATGAAATTATATTTCATGATGCAGCGTTGTGAAATTATACTTCATGATGCAGCGTTGTGAAATTATACTTCATGATGCAGCGTTGTGAAATTATATTTCATGATGCAGCCCTGTCAAATTGAATCTCATGGTTTACACCTGACAAGTTGGCAATAATTAAATCGTGCCTGAAAATACCCCTTCACTTAATTGGTTTTTGGTTCCTATAAATCCAGTGGTATTACAATATCTAAAAAATCAAATAGACAAAAATATCGAATTGGTGAATTTCATAATGAGTAGTATATTGATTAAAAAGATTAAATTATAAAATTTACAATTGATTTATTCATAGCTTTATTGATTGATAGTTTGATTTGTTTATTTGGTTTAAATTTTGTTCGATTGATTTGTTGATTGATTGGATAATTGATTGATTGATGTTTAAGGAGTGATGAGACAGGACTGGTTGGATTTCTAAGATCCAAAACCCCTTTGAGCTTTAGAGAGAAATCCTGGACTAGCAGAAGGTAGGTTTAAAAACTGAAAGGGGCGCATGTTATCCACAACAACGCTTGTACAATGTACTGTACAATGTACTGTACAATTTACTGTACAATGTACTGTACAATGTATTGTACAATGTACTGTACAATGTACTATATAATGTAATGTACATTGTACTGTTCATGCTTTAAAACTGCATTTCATTTTTAAAAAGTCTTTAAAAGTGGGTTTAATAACTGGCGTAATTTAGTAATTTTGTAGACACACGGTATACTTACGGCTAGAGTGGGGCGGGGATGGGGAGGTGGTAAATAGATTATAGAATCCATGCTTTATGTATTTATGTATTCCTAATAAACTCCATCAATCAACCTGTTTGTGTTAAGATCTAGTAGTGAGCGTGACCTGACCCCTACCCCTGACCATGCTAGCGGGCCGGTGAGCCTCTCTACACTGGACAATAAAGAGAATCGAATATCAAGGTAAGATAAAGTACAAACAGAAAATGTTCATAATTTTCATTTTAAGAAACTAAACAATCGCCACAAACTCGATTTAAAAAAAAAAGCTTTTAATCTTGATGGGATAAACCTTTGATGTTTCAAAATTCAAACTTAAACAATTGACCTAGCAGACTTTATGGTTAAAATATCAAAGGAACACGACATCAGGTTGTCAAGATGTAGGGATTTTAAAATTGGAATTAGTTAGGCGAGTGTTCAAGGTTTAATATCTACTGTGATATATGTGTATATTCAAAGACTACAAGAAAACTTCAAAAAGGTTTTTAGAACTATATTAATTTAAACACACATCTCTAATATTCTTTACAAATTATAATTCTTAAGGATTACATTTACTAACATATCAAAGCTCTCCTGCTGCAGTAGTTTTACATATATTTATTGTACAAATGTTATGTTAATATCTGTTATAATTATTACTGCATTCAAATATATGATTTGATTTAATTTAATAGACTTTTTTAGTTAAAAATTATTTCTTCGGGTATTCAATATTGAGCACTGACAGATAATGAATATAAATTGACAATTGATATGTACAAAACTTTGTAATGCCAAAAATCATATTTATGTTATATTCAAAAATGTACAAAAATCTTGAAACATTTCTGAATTATTTGAATTCATAAGTTCATTTGTTCTAATCTTTTTATTTTGAATTTAAAATAAAATGTGTTTTAGAATTTTCTCGTTGCGGCGGTCCCATGACCTCACCCCTGAGAGGGAGGGGGGCATGCACCCCCTCACCGAGGAGGAGGAAACCGTCCTGGGGGAGAGGGAGGGGCCAACACTCTCCCCTCCAATCCTACCTCCGACACCCCTATTCATGCCTCCGGAACAAACAAAACGGAGGTTTATCCTCAATAGTCTGATACAGAGTGAAAATAACTATTTAGGAAAAAGTTTAAAATTTTTTTATAAAAAAATCGTTTCAATTCTTCCAAAAAAAATGGTTTCAAATATCAAAGGTTAGATCGCTAAGGTTTAAAGTTTACAATATTAGAGCTTACATAAAGTTTTCATTTTTTCTATTTTATTAAAATTTTATTACAATTTCACAAAGCAATATTGTGGTGCAACTCTGCACTGGGTGAAACTAGTCCAACAATTGATATATCCGCTAGTAAGTAGTAAGTAGTATGTAAATTCAGCATGAATTGATTGATAAATTGATACAGCTTATGATATACAAAAACCATGAGAAAAATGTGTAACCCCCCCCCCCACACAAGTGTTACTGAATTAACATCAAACCCCTAAAAGACTACTGAGAGACTAAAATTCAACTGTTTGATGCTGCAGAATCTTTTTGAAGACTACTTCAAACCCCCCTTCCCCCCAGGAACAAAAACAAAGTGTTACTAACTTAACATAAAACACCTTAAAAGACTACTATAAGACTAAAATTAAACTTTTTGATTCTGCAGAATCCCTTCAAAGACTACTTGAAGACTACAAGAAACCTTTAGAAGAGAGCTCTCCTCCTATTCTCAGTGAAAACAAGGCATTAATCTCAACCTATTATCATTATTATTATTTTTATCATTATTATCACTAGCATCATTATTATTATTATTATGATCACTATCAATTTATATTCATTATTCAATTATTATGTTTTGTCATTGTTAAAACTAGAAGTCAATCCTTAATTACAAACAAAAGCGCTCTTAAGAAATTTCATCCATTTGGGTACAACTCTCGATAACGATCTAATGAAATTTAATTTTTTTTTTAAACAAATCGCATTGATCATCGTTTTCTAATCGTTAACTAATTTCGAACGTGCTTAGCCCTACAAAATTAAAAATTTAATGGTTTTAACCAACATGGCTCAAATCCATTCCCACCGATCTTTTCCTCACTCTGACAAATTTCAAATTTTCATCTAACAAAATTTGTTGGAGCAACGGCATCAAATTCACTTTAGCAGAATCATTCGTAAAATTTTGTTGAATGATTCTGCCAAGGTGAATTCATTAGATCGTTATCGAGAGTTGTACCCAAACGGATGATTTTTAACGTCGACTTACTTTCAAACTCAGCAATTATACAACTACATCATAAAACGTTTTATTTGTTTTACTACTCCGGGGGACTGTTAGTGTGCAGTTGGGCGGTGACTTAAGTCATTGGTCTGTACTTCGACAGTTGGCCACACTAGACAGTGTGTCACCAATTGGTACATTAATAGCCAATGTGGCTATTTTTGATGAGGTCTCAGCCCTGACTTCTACGGAATGATGGTTGATTGTTTGTTTGTTTGTTTGTTTGTTTATCGAGAGTTGTACCCAAATGAATGATTTTTAACGTCGACTTAGCGTTTAAACTCAGCAATACATCTACATCATTAAACGTTTTATTTGTTTTAAATTAATTCTAAAAAAATTCTCCTTAATATTACATTCTCAGTTTAACTAACATACATTGCTGGTCACTCCGTTTAAAAGGGACTGTAAGCGTAACTCTAAGGGACCCTCCATGCAAAGATGGCATTGCCCGATTTACAACAATACCTACAACAGCTTTGTATGATCAAGTATGAATTAGATATCCATGTTTTTGAAATTTTTAAATTAAACTCTTTTGTTCCTGTGCGAAATTGACTTGCGCATTTCTTGCTTATAAGAAGCCATGGATAAATTTTCAAAATTAAACACTTTTCCGAGTCCGAAAAAAACGACTATATCTTCCACATTTTTGATCAAATTAAGGTTTCAAGGGATTGCTGTCTTTACATGAAGGGTCACTTGAAATTACGATTACAGTCCCTTTAACATTCCCTTAACTTGAATCCTGACACACCCTGATCAGATTTTATCAATCAGTTTAAATATATCTCATTAAAAGATAAAAAATAAGAATATCTTTTTTCAAGATCTAAAGAACTGGTTTTTAGTTCTTCTATTTTATGAATTTTTTTAGATTTCTGGTTTTCAAAGTTAATTAAATTATAAAAATTCACAGTCGTTCGTACTTTTCAGATTTGTCATTTTTGTTCAAGTATTTTTAAAGGAAGTAAAAGGAGGCGTAGAGGATGGGGGGGTTAAGATGTATGAACATTTAAAACTTGTTGTAAATAATTTTAAGCGCTCAATTTATCAGCTCACAGCATATTCCTCCCAATAAGGAGTGGATTGGCTCAAATTTCAATTTAATTAATGCAAGAACTGTTTGCTCTAAACAGTATAGTTTTGGAAACAAAAGGTAATCATCTTAACCGTTAGAAATAAATCTAACATTTTTTTTCTAAATATTGAACTACCGAAAAGTTTCGAGAAAATGTTGTTCATATCTCGGAACAGAATGTTCGATATAACTTCTTACACATTCTTTATCCCCATCATTCGTTACAACATTTCGAACAGACGACTGAGCGGAATTTGGACTGCCTGTTTCCTTATATTCATGATTCCATTCAAATGTAAACTGTTTCTTTATTTGCCAAATCATTAAAAGTCTACATAATACATATACAAATTTAAGACATAAAACTTAATTTAACCTTGGGATCGTCATATTTTTTGAGTTTAAGGTCGTCTTTAGTCTTTACAGTTTCATCCTTTCTGGGTAACCCTGTACCAGTTCTAGTTAAAAAATCTTAAACTATCCCTTCTCTTTCTCCTTAATTGGAACTAATGACCAGCAAAATGTACAGAGTTACCCACAAAGACGACCTAAAACTTTAGAAATATGAAGATTTAAAGCTTGATTTTTGGCTTTCACATTTGATTGAGTATTTTGATGGTTTACTAAATATTAAGCACAGGTATAAGCCAGTTTTGGCCTACAAGGAACCCTGAATGCAAGAAAATGTAATAAACAAATTCCGTAAAATCGTCTCTGAAGATTCAACCTTTGTGGGTAACCCTAACGTTGAACAAAGTACTTAGTTGAGCAGTTTTTTTGAAATAGAGTGCACAAAAGAATTAGTTTGACTAGAATTATCTAGTTCCACTACATCTAACTACTTCTCTTTATTAAATCCAATTTCTTGATATTCTTCTTACTTTTCTTTTTCCAAAATCGTTTGAACTTATTTCTTGAAGTTGAGATTATTTAAGGTTTCAACAATATTCTACAGGGTAAACGAGATACTTAACTGTCATTCAATATTCAGGTAAATTTTCTCAACGATGGCTGACATTGTCTTCAAGATGGCTGCCATTTTCTTCAAGATGGCTGCCATTTTCTTCAAGATGGCTGCCATTTCCTTTAAGATGGCTGCCATTTCTTAAAGAGGCTGCAATTTCTTAAAGATGCTGCCATTTTCTTAAAAATGGCTTCTATTTTCTTCAATATGGCTGTCATTTTCTTCAAGATAGCTGCCTTTTTCTTCAAGATGGATGCCATTTTCTTCAAGATGACTACCATTTTCTCAAAAATGGTTGCCATTTTCTTAAAGATGGCTGCCATTTCTTAAAGATGGTTGCTTTTTCTCAAAGATTGCTACAATTTTCTCAAATATGACTGCTATTGTCATTTCATAAGGGGTATGGGAGGGGCTAATTTTAACACTAGCCTTCTTGTATTATAGCAAACTCATTTCAAAATGCATTTAAAATTCTGGCTTATTCACTTATACAGAAAGTTTTGTAAATTTTAATGTTTTTTTAGAATTGCACTGTCTGAAGCTGTGAGAAAATGGGATCAGGTATATGAACACATTTTAAATAAACTTTTTAGAGACTTTTGTTCTAATTTCTGGAGTTTTTTGGGACTTGCCCTAAGCTTACGACGAATACTTTAGTTTAGAAGATTTTGTTACTTTTAACTAAAATGAATACTTTTTATGTTTTTGAGATTAAGAAAATGTAACCCCTTTACGTTTTTTGGACTTCTTTTGTATGTCCTTTGTATTTGCTAAAATTTGGATCGTGAATGAAATTCTGCACACAAGGAAATCTAATGATTGTGCACATTTCATTCCATTTTTAACTTGAACATTTGTTATTTAAATCTTCTGTTCGTCAGTATCACCAGGAAACACAATGTATTGGTTACCCTGACTTAAAATAGATTTTGTACGCAATAATTAAAAAGGTTATATTAAAGATTTATATTTTTATTCAAGATATCTCATATTTAAGACGACATACTTAATAAATTTTAAAAATGCGTGATTGTAAAGAAAATAATTTTTAATCGGACAGAAAAATTATTTCATGCAACATTTTTTTTATTTGACATTTTTTTCTGCATCAAATATCTCTATAAAATCTAGATGTTATGCTTATTTTTATTTTATTCTGACAATATTTTTGTCATAACTGAATTCATTGTAGGTTTTGTTTTATAAACATATGATTATGTAGTAATGGAAACTGCGTATATTTTTTTCTGTCAATCGTAATAGTATTTATAAGATTTCTTTATATTTTTCATTTTTTGGGGGGAAAATATTTTTGTTTTTCATTTATTAACTTAAATTGGACTGTTAATTTAATTTCAAGTGACCTTTAATTAATAGAAAGGCTTGTCCGATTTACAACCTTACCCTTTAAACCTTGGTTTGATCAAGAATTTCGTAGATATTTTTTATATTAATTGTGCCAAAAAACGCGCGAGTGTACACTAGCACAAAGTGTACAGTGTACACTGTAACCTCGAGTCTCCCTGCACTCAATATTCAGCTTTACAATTGATGATATTACCTCATCGCTGTCCGGACAAAAGTTTAAAGGGTATCGTTGTGAATCAGACATGCTTTTCTAAAATAAAAGGTCACTTAAAATTAGCTTACACTACCTTTATGATGACATAATGCAGGAAGAGAAGATTGGAGATGCATTTGTGGCCTCGTTTTCCAAGTCTGTAGTTTTGGAGGTCTATTCGGACTTCATAAATAACTTTACCGAGGCCATGGAGGTTGCTAAAACAGAAAGTAAAAGAAAATCAGCTTTCGCAGATTTTCTTAAGGTATAAATTGTTTAAGATATATAAAATCATTCTGTTATAAAAAATCATTTTTACATTTGCAAGATATCCACACATTGTAATCTATTGATTTTTTTGAGGAGGGGTTAATTAGTTTGATGATTGTTAATTTGGAAAATGTGTGATTTATAGAATGCTAAACTTTGTGCTACATTATTTTTTTACTTTAGGTTAAACAGATAACAGCTCATGATCGGTTAAATTTCTACGGACTTATTGTTAAACCAATTCAACGATTTCCACAATTTATTCTCATTCTGCAAGATCTCCTAAAGGTATAGATTTAACAACCATGTTTTTATATAATTGACGGGGTTTTTTTCAGGAAACACCTCCCGGACACAATGACCGAATGGCTCTCCAACTAGCTCTGACCACTCTGGAGTCCCTCGCCGAAATGTTAAATGAAAGAAAGCGCGAATCTGAACAAATTGCCGCGTTTCGCGCCAAAATGCGCCAACTTGGCGGGAAACTTGGAAAAAGTGAAAATGGTCGAGTTTTACTTAGAGAAGACGACGTTGATCGTCTTGAGTTTAACAGTTCAGGACAAGTGTCAAGGACGAAATCTCGACGCCTGCTTCTCCTGAATGACCGGATAGTGTGTGTAGCTGCCAGCGGTCGACCTAGTGAAGTTGATATAAACAGCCCGGGCCAGTACGAGAAATTAAGTCTAAAATGGAGTGTGGGCGTGAATGAAATAGATGTCGTAGAAGGTATTTTTTTCTTTTTTTTTACATCTTTTTCTCATAAAAATATTAATATATAATGATTTAAAAAACCGCAAATTCTTGTATAATCCGATCCAAAAGTTTAACCTAAAAAAAATAACGTAATTTAAAACTTTAGGAGCTGGAGCTGGAACCTTGGCTAGATTAACTACAGCTGGATCAGTTCTCCATCAATCAAAGAAAACTAGTCTATCAAAAACTAATTCAAACAAGTAAGTAACAATGGGACACATAAAACTTTGGAATAGGATGACGACATTTGTCTTGTAAAAAGGCAAAACGTGTTACCCGTCGCTTAAAAAAATCAGCTTCTTTAAAAAATATACTAGTGTTTCATGCTTATTGGATAATCTAAAATCATAACTTTCGTTTTATAGTCGTCTTACTTCGTTATCAGTCGTCTTCACTTTAATGAGTTTACGTACAGTCTGTGCTCAAGGAATGATTTTAGATTAATTTATCAACAGAAATTCAAAATAAGAAACCTTCGTAAAGAAATCAACCACGGAAGGGTAAAAAGAATTTAGAGTAATAGTTTTTTTTATGATTTAAAATGTATAATATTATGAATCTATATACAACATCAGGTTGCAATAATATAAGTTTGTGACGTTAATAAGTTTCTTTGTGCTAACAGCATAATTTTTTCCATTTTTGTTCTTTAATTGTTTTTTTATTTTTTCTCCTTCTTAGTGTTGATAAACAGATGGCGGAGAATCTAGCTCAAGATATGGCAGACCTTATGCATGATTTCGACGTAGTTTCCAGGTATTAGAAATATATATAATTCAACATTTGAAGGAACTTTCATTGTAATTTTAGCTTTCAAGTAATCATCCATGGAGGCTCATGGTTTATTCACAGAGGTGACCTAAAAGGGACTTCACACATGATTTGAAGTGACCCACCATTTATAGAGTGGCATGTTTGATTCTCAGCAAGGCCCAAAAAAGCTTGAAATGACTCATCAAAAGTGAAATAGAAATTCATTTTTTCTCTTTTGTAAATTGATTATGTTTGGTAACTCTATCAAGTGAATTTTGGCTCTCTCCCTTTTAGTCAATTTACGAATTGTGATAATTTTAAAGCTAGAAAAACAAATACATTATTGATCAGATAAAGGTTTAAAGGGTACTGTTGTGAATCGATCATGACTCTCTTTATATTTGAAAATACCAAGACCTTTATTTGAATAATGTCAATAATGTGAAATTTCGAGTCCTCCGTTAAATTATTTAGTAAACAGAAAAAGTATGCTTCTTGTTTTTACAAAAAGACTTAAAACACGTTTTTTTATCAGGAAGCAAATGATGCAATGGCCAAATATTCTAAATTAGAAAAAAAATATTTAAAAAATTCAGTTAAATTTTTAAAAATATTTTTTAGGATGAGTACATTGTCTAGTAGTTTAAAGTGTGATTATCCAAGTGTGAATTGTGAAGCCCTAGCTTCAATACTTGATACTATTCAGGCATCTATCAGGCAGAAGGTACACAAGTTTATTTTAAAGCATGACCGTTTTTTCCCGCGTATTTTCTGTATATATACTATGCTCGTATATATATAGAGTGTAATTTCTGTTTGTTTGTTTTTATATCCGATCATAATTCATGAACCCTTGGACCGATTTGCCTCAAATTTTGATTAGGAAACTCGGGAGAGGCACGGGAATGTTCAATTTTTATTCTAAGTTGAGTGGGTTGACTATTACAAGCTATATATAATAATGGGTTACTTTTTTTGCTGTAACAATTTACATTAGTTTCAAATCGTTGAACGAATTTTGTTTTTAAAAATTAAACTTTTTCTGGATCAAAGTTCAAATGTTATTTTTCTTGATTAAAGTTCAAATGTTATTTTTCTTGATAACAGTTCAAATGTTCTTTTCTGGATCAAAATTCAAATGTTATTTTTCTTGATTAAAGTTCATATGTTATTTTTCTTGATAACGGTTCAAATGTTATTTCTCTTGATTAAAGTTCATACGTTATTTTTCTTGATAACAGTTCAAATGTTATTTTTCTTGATTAAAGTTCATATGTTAATTTTCTTGATAACAGTTCAAATGTTCTTTTCTGGATAAAAGTTCAAATGTTATTTCTCTTGATAAAAGTTCAAATATTTTTTTCTTGATAAAAGTTCAAATATTATTTTTCTTGATAAAAGTTCAAAATTATTATTTTTCTTGAAAAAAGTTCAAATATTTATTATCTGGATAAAAGTTCACATTATATTTCTCTTGATAAAAGTTCAAATATTATTTTTCTTGATTAAAGTTCAAATATTATTTTTCTTGATAAAAGTTCAAATATTATTTTTCTTGATTAAAGTTCAAATATTATTTTTCTTGATAAAAGTTCAAATATTATTTTTCTTGATAAAAGTTCAAATATTAATTCTCTAGATAAAAGTTTAAATTATATTTTTCTTCATAAAAGTTCAATTGTTATTTTCTTGATTAAAGTCCAAATATTATTTTCTGGATACAAATTTAACTTATTTTCTAAATGTTGATGTTGTTATAGGACGATGAGATAAGTTGGTTGGATAAGAGCTGTCTTCAAATAATAGTGAAGAGAAAAGAAAAAACAGAAACATTAACATTCCAGGTAATTTGTTCAAATGTTTTGCCTTGTCAATTCTAGTTTATCCCCCGACCCCCTTTTTGTATCTGTTTTGAATGTGTGTTTTTTAGACCAATGTGTGAACTCAGGATTCAGATATTTTCTTGTTCAAACATTCAGATTTACTAATAATACCAATATTTGGGATTAGAAACACAATCCATTCCTTTCCTAAAAAAATCTTAACTTTTTGTGAATATTTTCTATTTATTTTTTACAGATTTCATATTTAATGTTTTTATTTTTATTTAAATAGATTTACGACTAGGAGTAGTTATTCAATATTCAATATTCAATATTCAATATTCAATATGGAAGGATCAGTGTTAGTTGTAGCTAAACCTAAATAATCAAAAATACTTGTAATCAGTGCATCATAAAATAGGGGGGAAATCCCTATTAATGACAAATAAAAAACGTGAATTTTTTTTTGAGGTAACACATCGGTGCCCGGGAGTAACAAAGGTTGAAAAAATCCAAAATTATTTGTTCAAAATTCGAATTTTTTCTATAATTTCCACGGGCAAAGCCTATCCCTTCAGTTAGTGTTATATAAAATTCGAGTTGGTTTAAAAATACAACAATGATAAAAAAAAAAAAAATATTTTCTTATTCTAGATGCGATCTCCAGCTGTGAAACAAGATTGGGTTGTGGAGCTAAGGCTTGCTAGATTGGTTAGTTTTTATAATTTTCATATCTTCCATTGAAAAAGGGGCATGTCGTATTCAACACGATACCCTTCAAACCTTATCTGATCTAAAATGAGAAAAAGTCGCTGTTGTAACTTCAAAAGTCAGGTGTTTAGTTGTGATAATTTTTCTTCTATTTCCTAATCAAGAAATGCGCAAGTCACTAGAAACCACAATTAAAAATTATCAGTTTTCAATAAAAAAATGCTTTTGACCTAACAAATCTTTAAAGGCTACCTTTGTAAATCGGACATGCCACTCTTTTCATGGAGGGTCAATACACTCCCTTTAATATAGATTAATTTAGTGCTTTAAGATAAATAAATACCAAGTGATTATTTAATTCTTTATAAATAATAATTATAATAATAATAAGTGATCAACCATCATTCCGTAGAAATAAAAGCCCCGTTCAAAACTATTCAGTTCACCGAATAATAATTTAATTCTTCACAGAGTATATAATTGATTATCATGTCGAAATATAGTTCTTTTAAAAATACACAATACAAAACAAAAAGATAATTAAATAAACGCAGAGAAATTTTTTCTTGTTAAAATCTAGAAATTTTTAAGGTCCGATTAAAAACTTTTTTTTATAATCCAATGCAATTAAAAACTTGTTGGTCAACTTTTTCTATAATCCAACTACAGTAGTTTTTATTTAGCAAGAATATTTTTGTAGTACTTTTTTGAACTGTAAGAAAGAAATTTTTCTCAAAATAATTTCATTATCCTTTCTTAAATATTCAATTATTGCGATAATGTGAGGAATATATTAGAATATTAGATATTGCAATCTTCGGCGTTTATATCAATATAATGAAGACAATTTTATATCTAGGTTTTGACTTCTACGAAGCTTTTTACAAGTAAACATTAAAATAATCTGTTAATTGACAGTTTCTCTTTGTTTCCATGTTTATGTGTATCCAAGCTGTTTAAAAGATTACTAGAAATCAAAGTTGAAATTGAAAGTCGTCTTTATTGTATTGATATATACAACGACGACGGTATGTTAATTATAAGTAAACTTCTCAGGCATAATGTTGTAAAATAAGATTTTAAAAATATAGAAAATATAATTTTTATATTTATTCAATGTAGGCACTAAGCATGGACAATTCACCGGGCTGGGATGTTTTAGATACATCAAAATTTACAGGTAATACAGTGGTAACGAGGGAGGGAACCCCCGGACGCCATGAGCCTCCGCTATGCAGACACGAGCCTCCCAGAGTTGCTTGGAAGACCAAGCCTCCTCTTTGCAGAAATGAGCATGCGCAACACATCAAAATGTGCCTGTGTAATACAGGAGGTTTTTTTAAACTAGTGTTTTAAGTTTAAATAAAAGATTTTTTTTTGAAATTTTTAGACATAGTGGCATGAGAGGCTTCTCAAAGATGAGAAGTATATATTAATTATCATAAATAATGCCTAATTATGACTAATAAAGTGGTATCTAAAACTTTAAACATTTTTTACATGAAAAGGTAAATATTTTTTTTTTTAATTTAATTTCATTTCATCTTTTATAATCTTTGATTTTAGCGATACCTTTTTTTGAAGTTCAAATTAAATCTAAAAAATTTGTATTTATTATTTAAATCTTAACATTTTTCAAAAAAAGGTATTGTTTAAATTAAAGATTACAACAAAACAAACCAAGTTTACTCCAGAAATATTTCTTCAAATATTTTCCTTTCTGCGTAAGAAATGTTTAAAGTTTTAATATAAATCTTATAAACCACTTCATGAGTCCATATGTGTTTCTAATCATGACAATCAATGAACAACTCTAATCTTTATTAAAATTCTTATGCCACTACATCAAAAAAAAATTGGTAAAAGTTTTCATCACTCATAAAAACCAAGATTTAAAAAAAGCAGTGCTGTATGGTGGAGGCTCGTTGACTGCATAGCGAAGGCACGGTCTACATAGCGTAGGTTTTGTCTGCATATTAAATGCTCGGTCTGCCTATTGAATCTGGGAGGTTCGATGTTTGCATAGCAGAGGCTCATGGCGTCCGGGGGTTCCCTCCCTATGGTGACCGATATATAGTGGTAACCAATAAAAAGTGGTAACCAATATAAAGTGGTAATCAATACATAGTGGTAACAAATATATAGTTGTAATCAATATATAGTGGTAACCAATATATAGTGGTAACCAATGTATAGTGATAGCCAATACATAGTGGTACCCAATATATTGTGGTAGCCAATATATAGTGGTAACCAATATAAAGTGGTAGCCAATATATAGTGGTAGCCAATATATTTAGTGGTAACCAATATATAGTGGTAACCAATATATAGTGGTAACCAATATATAGTGGTAGCCAATATATAGTGTTAGCCAATATATAGTCGTAACCAATATATAGTGGTAACCAATATATAGTGGTAACCAATATATAGTGGTAACCAATATATAGTGGTAACCAATATATAGTGGTAGCCAATATACAGTGGTAGCCAATATATAGTGGTAACCAATATATAGTGGTAACCAATATATAGTGGTAGCCAATATATAGTGGTAACCAATATAAAGTGGTAGCCAATATATAGTGGTAGCCAATATACTGTGGTAGCCAATATATAGTGGTAGCCAATATATAGTGGTAGGCAATATATAGTGGTAACCAATTTATAGTGGTAACCAATATATATTGGCAACCAATATACATTGGTAACCAATATATATATAGTGGTAACCAATATATAGTGGTAACCAATATATAGTGGTAACCAATATACAGTGGTAACCAATATACAGTGGTAACCAAATTAAAGGGTAATACAGTGGTATCCAATATTTAGTGGTGACCAATATATACTGGTAACCAATATATAGTGGTAACCAATAAAGTGGTAACCAATATATACTGGTAACAAATATATAGTGGTAACCAATATAAAGGGTAATACAGTGGTATCCAATATTTAGTGGTGACCAATATATAGTGGCAGCCAAAATATAGTGGTAACCAATATAGTGGTAGCCAATATATAGTGGTAACCAATATGTAGTGGTAACCAATATATAGTGGTAACTAATATAAGGTGGAAATTAATATTTAGTGGTAGCCAATATATAGTGGTAACCAATATATATAGTGGTAACCAATATATATAGTGGTAACCAATATACAGTGGTAACCAACATACAGTGGTAATTAATATAAGGGATAATACAGTGGTAACCAATATATAGTGGAACCAATTTATAGTGGTAACAAATATAAAGGGTAATACAGTGGTTTTCAATATTTAGTGGTGACCAATATATACTGGTAACCAATATATAGTGGTAACCAATATATAGTGGTAACCAATATTTAGTGGTAACCAATATATATAGTGGTATCCAATATATAGTTGTAAACAATATAAAGGATAATACAGTAGTAACCAATATATAAATAAATAAATAAAACAGTCACCCATCAGTCCGAAGAGAGGTTTGGGTAGAGCCCACATCACCACACTACCCCCAAAGAGAGTAGCAGGGTGTCATTGGCGGTTGGCCACAGTAGGCCAAAGTGTGGACCACCAAGCATGGGTCAAGTTCGCTGGCGTACTGCCGCAAACCTGCTGCACACTTACCAGATACATGAAGGTCTTGTCAGTACCTTTCATGAAAATGATAAAACAAGAAAAGTACTTAATAAACTGTAATGCGAGTCACCTCAAAAGGTACACCATTTATGGTATCCTCATAAAACCGAAAAGACAATTATATTAGTACTTTATTTACTTATTACCGATCACCTCAGAGTACATTCTCTTGTCCATATGGTTCCGAAGCAGTCAGCCATGCCTCCAGAATAACAGCCATTTTCCACCCCCTTTTAAGTAACTCAGCTTTACCACTTCCAACCCCAAGATAGGCCTTTAGGACTGCCTATCTGGTTCGTGGCGATCAGTCTTCCCCTCCCATGAGAACTCACGCCTGCCTTTTTAACCCATCCTATCTCCATCCTGAAATCTTGATCCTCAGCCTCATGCAGTAACGCAGCATGTCCAACTTCCTGACTTACTCTACAGCTCAGTTCCAAATCAAACAAACATCTCTGCACAGTATGATTATTTTGTCCGCAAATCACATAAGGACGTTTCTCTGTACACTGCCGAAACGAATGTACATCCGATTCACAGAAGGAACACAGGGCCCTTTTCTCCGATCCTCTGTAGGCGCCTCCAAGCTCCTTGATACTCTTCTCCAGCCTAGCCTGGTTTTCCTGTACAGCATCCACTTTTGACAACGTTTTAAATCCCAAGAAACTTGTACAACTATAATTTTTCATATTCCGTCAATATTGTATCTGTTACCCGTACTGGTACCTTATCGATAAATAAAACAGTTTTATGTTTAAAGGTATTGGTATTGCACTATATACGCTTTAATTCAAAATTAATATTTAAAAAAAAAAAACATTTTCTTAGCCAGGTTAATGGTAATAAGGGAACACTACCAAAAGAAAAATCGCATACATTTCTGTTTGCTGGGTTTCTCCTTAAATTATAATTTTCCTCCGAAAGACGTCTTCCAGTAAACAATAAAGATGGAAAAGTATAACATACTCCCTATGTTAAACTTATACTTACATCCTTCTTAGTGTTCATTTCCTTGCTTTAATTCAAATTATTCTTTGCATCTGAAAGTCGTCTTCCCATTTCAACCCTCAACCTTCAACCCATTTCAGTCCTCAATGCAAAATCAGAAGAAAAAAAAACAGAAAAGAAACGAATAACATTTTTCTTTTGCTAAATAACATGAAAAGAATTCCACTCATCTGTTGTTAAATATTTTTTGGGAAACATGACACCATTTTATGGCCGGGCCAATCTTCTTTTTTAACTTTTAATTGTGGCTTTATCTGTGAGCATCTTCTCTTTGTACAATATAAATTTTTTTATTTGAGGATAATATTTTTGGGCGCATTTTCAAAATTTTACAAAATTAAATAATTTAAAATAAAAATATTTAATATTACATATTTAAAGTCTGATTGACCATAAACCTTCGCTGGTGCCACGTGAGGTCCCAGACAAAATTTGGGCCTGATCGGTTCAGCCGTTTTGACGTTTATTGGATACAAACAAACAAACACCCACCCAAACACCCAGATAGACAAGCTAAATTTATGTATAGAAGAAGGTTGTATCTTACACAATTTTAATAAGATTTGTTTTCAAGGATACCCTTGTGAAATGTGTATCTGGCAATTTAATCTATGCACGATGGGTAACTTTAAACCTGAGCGGGGTGAAGGGTTGGTAATTGACCGTTATAAAAAATTTTAATTATTATATTACAGATCAGAAGTAAAATGTGTGCTGAGAATGTTGGTTAAATTTACGAATAAAAACATGTGATTTAGGGTTGCATTAATAACTGTAACTGATAAGAGAAGAAAATTTTTATGCACTTTTGTCAAAAAGTTTCTAGGAATTTCTATCAAAGGTTTTTGATAAAGTTTACTTTGCAATAAAAACATAATTGCTTTTCAATATTCTTCTAACAATATTGAAAACCAATTATTACGACAGAATGTTACATAACTCACAAATATTGGAGATAAATGGAAATATTTGATATTGTTAAAAATCTGAAGCTCTATATTCATGTTATTTCAAGGTGTAATTTAGTTATTCCTAGGCCTCATCATTTTTATGTTACAATCACTTCTTTGAGTATAAGTCAAAAAACGATTTCCAGAATTTTTAAGAATTTGGTTTGTTGTTTTATTTGAACATGTCTTCATGAATTGTGATAGACATTGTAATTCTACGCCGACTGCGCGAAACTCCTCAGTTTCATCCAAATCTTGAAAAGACGACATTTAGTGTCCTATCTGTTATTTTGATTAATCTATGTACAGATTAATCTAATTCCTCTTCAATCTCTCGTGGCGGTAATTGCCTTGCAAAAATAACTTCAAAAATGTAAAAAGTGGTAACCGGTATAAGGGTAATATAGTGGTAACCAATATATAGTGTTACCCAATATAAAGGGTAATTACAGTAGTAACCAATATATAGAAGTATTTAATATACAGTGATAACATATATACAGTAGTTCCTATTATAAAGTGTAATCAATATTAAAGGTTCTTACAATGGTTACCAATATAAAAGGTTATTACAATGGTAACCAATATAAAATGTTATCACAATGGTAACCAATATAAAAGGTTATTTCAATGGTAATCAATATAAAAGGTTATTACAATGGTAATCAATATAAAAGGTTATTACAATGGTAATCAATATAAAAGGTTATTACAATGGTAATCAATATAAAAGGTTATTACAATGGTAATCAATATAAAAGGTTATTACAATGGTTGCCAATATAGACGGTCGTTGTCGTTTATATCCATACAATAAAGACGACTTTCGATTTAAATTTTGGATCTGCCAAGTTTCTTTATTTAAATGGGCATAAATATAATTTAGTGAAACCTATTTAAAAAATTACTTTCACTTTTCTTTGAATTGATAATGGTTAATTAGACGAAAACTATTTTGTCAACCATCAAAAACATTAATTAAAAATAATAAATATAAAATTGAATTTCTAGGTCGTCTTCCTCTGTACGTGCAGAACCTGCCTGTGCTTAAACTTGAGAAACAAAGTGAAGTTGTTTGCGGAACCAGTTATACTATTCTAGTACAGACACCTACCCGTGCACTCAGGTACTTACCCGTACACTCAGGTACTTACCCGTACACTCAGGTACTTATCCGTACACTCAGTTATTCACCCGGACACGCAGGTACTTACCCGTACACTCAGTTACTTACATTTACACTCTTTTACTTACTCTTACACTCAGATACTTACCCATATACTTATGTACTTACCCGTACACTCAGGTACTTAACCGTACACTCAGGTACTTACCCGTACACTTAGTTACTTACCTGGACACTCAGTTACGTACTCTTACACTCTTTTACTTACTCTTACACTCAGATACTTACCCATATACTTCGGTACTTACCCGTACACTCAGGTATTTCCCGTACACTCAGGTATTTACCCGTACACTCAGGTATTTACCCGTACACTCAGGTATTTACCCGTACACTCAGGTATTTACCCGTACACGTATGTACTTACCCGTACACTCTAGTACTTATCCGTACATTCTGGTACTTATTCGTACTCTCATGTACTGAACTGTACTGATTCTCGGTAAAATTTTACCAAGTGCGGGTAAACTGCAAGAGTAAGTTTGAATACCTTGGGCAACGCTGGGTTCCAAAGCTAGTATATAATATATTTATTAATTATTTAAACAAATAGGATATTTACATATATATTTCAGGCCTGTAACCTATGTGTGGGTGAATGCTACGGATGGGTACTCCGCAAACCTGAAAGTGTTTATGGTCCAGGTAAATTTATTTAGCATGTTTTTCTCATTTTTTTGCGAGAAAAAGACGAGAAAAAAATTGTAAGAGGAAATAGTAAATATCATTTTGTAAGTCTAATTATTATTCGATATCGGTCAAATTTGCCATCGAAAAAGTTGGAATCAAGCTTTTTAAAGCCAAAAGATATCCATATTTAGGGCTGCAAAACATATTATGGGTTGGTTCGAAGTTTGCCCAGTCGCAATAGTTTATGAATAATAAATCTGTGACAATGGCTGACGCAGAGGGCATTTCATAAAAATTTCAGTTTAGTTAGAGTTTATTTTTAGTAATGTTACAATTTGAGAAAATAGACTTTGAATGATTTATTTTAAGAAAATATTTATTTACGCGTAGTAGACTGCATTTACGCACTAGACCTGCAATACCCAGGAGGGTATTGACCATAACAAGGTCGTAAACAAAAAATATTATTAAACTTTTTGCTGGACATGAAAAGAATGTTTATTTGAAAATATATTTACGTTTTCGTGGAAACTATTATCAATAGAAAATTTAGGTTCTCAAATTTGAAATATTCATTTTTAAGAAATTTCCCATCTTTTACCGAGTTAACCACAAAGGACGATACTCTACGGAATTTCTACCGTCTTTTTACTAACATCAATGATGGTTCTGTGAGACTTTGAACTTATTTCTTTCTTGACAAATAATAAAGAAATACTATATTACTACTAGCTGTAGGGCACGCCGTTGCCCGTGGAAAAAAATATCTGAAAAAAAAATATTTTTAACAAAATAAAAAATGTTGGAGAAAGAAAATTTTTTTTAGTCTATAACATGGCCTCCCATGAGTGTCCACAAAAAAATCAGCCTATTCGGTCCAGCCATTTTACCGGCTATAGGCAACATGTATATATACGAATGTCTTGTTTTATTATATAGATATTCACATTGGAACGATTTCACGCTTTAACTTGAACTTTTATGATTAATTTTTGGTCGTCGTTAACATCTCATCATCTGTTGGTAACCATATAGCTTCCTGTCGCATGTACCATTATTTAGTCAATTTCAGAAATTGATAAAAATGTAATGACAACTATTGTTTACCTTTGCCTGTGAATGGGCTCCATGAAATGTATTGTATATATAACGTAGTAAATGTCTGTTATGGTGTTAAACTGTTAGTTTGTATGTCCGATCATAACTCATGAACCCCTGGACTGATTTGCCTCAAATTTGAATCTCAGTAGAACCACGGGAATGTTCTTAGCTTTGATTAAAGATTCTTTAGAGGGTAAACTACAGGCAAAGGTTCTCAAGCTAGTTTAATCATATTATAAGTTTTGGAATGATAAAATCAACAATTAGCAAAAAGTTTTTAAGTTTTTTTTACATTTTAGAGATACTGACTTCCAACATTACCTGAAACCTTTGACAATGCGGAAGTTTATCTTTAAACGTGTTCAATTCTGACAATTTTCTTCAATAGCTCTGCAGCGTAAATGCTTAAGTAATTTTTACAGGGAACTCAATTAAAATGTTGTGAATCTGAAATGAGACTCTATGAATTGTGGGTGACTTGAAATTATGTCTGCGACGACGTCTAATAAACTGATTCTAAAACGACATGCTATAAAAAGTATGAAATTTTTAATTTTAGGTAAATCAGAAAATATCCTTAAAGGAGCTCGGCTCCCACTTCCTAAGCTCCTGTAACGTGCACGCGCTCCAGTATGTTCCTGGAGGAGGTGGTGGTGGAGGGCTTCAGTATGTCTCAGGAGGAGGAGTATCAGCCTCGTGTTTAGATAATTCCCTAGCCCAGGACCTAGTCTGGGTCGCCACAGACGATAGAAGGTAAAATCACAAGAAACAAGAAAATCAAAACCGTTTTTTTCTCAATCTCAGAGTTGTTGTAATCTTAATATCGAATTACCCAAAACTTTTCGAAATAACTAACATTTTCTTCGTAAAGAACAGACTTCAAGATATATCTAATATTTCGATATAACATATAGTTTGAAAAAATGGTAATGCTTTTTTAACATTACTGATAGTAATTGTTAAAATAAAATTTTAAGAGCTAAAACATGTTCCAACGGAAACTCTTGGTTTTTGGGATTTTTATAATGGGGTCTGACATTTTTATACCTGTAGAAATTTGTTTATATTTTAATCTATTTAATGAAATAGGAATGTCTAAATAAATATCAATTTTTAAAATACAAAAAAGCTAGATCGCATTTTTGCAACCTCATGGTATAGCACTCGTGGGACTTCTGAATTTATTTTAATTATTTAAGATTTTTAATTTTTTTGATTTCCAGAATCCTGCTGTATGGTGCAAAAGACCCAGAGAAATGTCATGAGGTGGGACGGATAGTTTTACAGGTATAATTATAACTATGATATTAATGATACTTATCAACTTAAAATGAGGGGGATAGGGTTTGCTCACACATTTTAGTGTGACTTAAAGGAATCCTAGTAAACAATAATAAAGATTGTAAACAAATGTCTGGATGTTCCTTAAACGTGTAGAAAATCCGGGCTTGTGAAATTAACTTGTTTTTTACAATAAACCAGTTTTTGAGTAGTTCTTCAATTTAACTCAAACAAATTCTCAAATTACAAAGGAAATAGTTTTAAGCGAAATCGGTCTGTTTACACCGCATACTAGCTATTTCTTAAGGTCATAGGACTATTTAAAGTCATAAGATGAATCTAAAGTCGTCTTCTTATTCCACAAGCTACTGTTTCATCAAACAATTGCACTGTTTCATTTATATCTGACTAATACAAATCTTGTGGCTAGCAATTTTATTCCTATTTTAGAGTTCTATGGGTTCCATATTAATAACTGACAAAATCTTCCTATTTTTGAAAAGTTGGATATCATGAACGAAATGTTGGATATCATGAACGAAGTGTTGGATATTATTGACAAAATGTTGGATATTATTAACGAAATGTTGGATATTATGAACTAAAATTTGGATAGTATGAACGAAATGTCGGATTTTATGAACGAAATGTTGGATATCATGAACGAAATGTTGGATATCATGAACGAAATGTTGGATATTATTAACGAAATGTTGGATATTATGAACTAAAATTTGGATAGTATGAACGAAATATCAAAGCTTCTAACATTATAATAATCTAGGCTGAGCCTGTGTGTCTGGTTCAACACTCGGGACAAGTATTTGTTGGTCTAGCAAATGGAAATCTTAATGTCTTCAGACGAACAGTCAGGTATTGATCAGAGCTGGGATATGTTCAACAAGTGACAGCCCCCCCCCCCCCATAATTATTCTAAAGGTTATTGGTTCTTCCTGTTCAAATTTCAAAGTTGTATTGCTGCAAATTGTTTGTATTGATCTGGTAGGGATTGTAATTTAACATTCATTCATTTAACAGAGAAACTGAACTTTACGCCAACTAGGCTTTCCCTTTCCTGTAAATAATTATAGCTTTTAACTGTTGCTCGTCGACCATTTTAAATTATTTTCAAATTTTGGCGGATTTTTCTTTGCGAATTTGCGGATTTTTCTTTGCGAATTGGCGCATTTTGAAAAAAGAAAAATTTCAACTATTATCCAATTTTGATGTTCCATAAACTTTCCCAGACACTTAAGTATATGTATGATTATATGGGTGTTGACAATGCTAATAATGCAAAAATCTATATAAACGAATGGTAGTTTCCTTCAGCTCCATGCTGTATTTTTTGGCACACTTTGCCTAAACTTCTAAATCTTAATCACTCAAACATTCAAATAAAACTATGGATGATCGTTTTATCAAAAAAATATGTTTAGACAAATTTGGGATCTTGAAACCCCTATAGTGAAGAGCCTAGGATCTGAACCAGTATCAACTTTACTCCCAGTCTCAGGAGGAATCTACGCAGCTACTGGTCGGAAGGTAGGTTTATGTACAGTCTACGTAGCTACTGGTCGCGTAAGGTAGGTATATGTACAATTTACGCAGCTACTGGTTGTAAGGTAGGTGTATGTAAAGTGTACACTGCTACTGGTCGTAAGGTAGGTTTATGTAGTCTATACACAGCTGCTGGTTGTTTGGTAGGCTTATGTACAGTGTATAGTGTACACAGTTACTGGTCGTAAGGTAGGTGTATGTAAAGTGTACACTGCTATTGGTCGTAAGGTAGGTTTATGTACAGTCTATACACAGCTGCTGGTTGTATGGTAGGTTTATCTACAGTCTACTCAGCTAATAGTCGTAAGGCAGATTTATGTAGAAACTAATAGTTTCTGTTTTAGGTTTATCTGTTGGAAACTAATAGTTTCTGTTTAAGGTTTATCTGTGGGAAACTAATAGTTTCTGTTTATGGTTTATCTGTTGGAAACTAATAGTTTCAAGGTTTATCTGTTAGAAACTAATAGTTTCTGTTTAAGGTTTATCCGTTGGAAACTAATAGTTTCTGTTTAAGGTATATCTGTTGGAAACTAATAGTTTCTGTTTTAGGTTTATCTGTTGGAAACTAATAGTTTCTGTTTTAGGTTTATCTGTTGGAAACTAATAGTTTCTGTTTTAGGTTTATCTGTTGGAAACTAATAGTTTCTATTTTAGGTTTATCTGTTGGAAACTAATAGTTTCTGTTTTAGGTTTATCTGTTGGAAACTAATAGTTTCTATTTTAGGTTTATCTGTTGGAAACTAATAGTTTTTGTTTTAGGTAAATGTAAATGTTAGAAAATAATAGTTTCTATTTTAGGTTTATCTGTTGGAAACTAATAGTTTCTATTTTAGGTTTATCTGTTGGAAACTAATAGTTTCTCAATTCTTCGTCAGCTCTCATTGTCAGGAGAAGATACTTCGTTCAAGGTGAGTTTCATATTTTTATGCATTTAAATAGATTTTTAATTCTTATACAGTTTACCCAGTACTTCGGAGTCATCGAAAGAATTTTTAAAATGTCGTCTTGGCAATTTTTCAATTGGTTTTATACTATTTTACATAAATCTAAGGAATTGTATAAATAAATAAATGAATATCTTCAGCATTGGTTATGAAAAATATGTTTTAACAATATGTGGCCTGAAACAAAAACAAAAGCATAAAGGTTAGAAAAGAAGGGTTTTTCTAATAGCAAGACCTATTCCACAATTATATGTGTCCCACTGTAACATTATAATTAAATATAGATGCAATAATTTGTTAATTATCAGGGAAGTGTGATGTCTCTCAGTTTTTTACTATCCCCTGGTTCTGTGTCCCACATAGCGGTAGCAGGCGTAGGATTATGGATCGCCATGGCTAACTCTTCTACAATAGCTCTTTATCATACAGAGTCTTTTATACATTTACAGGTAGAATCTCCTATACAATACCTCTTTATCATACAGAGTCTTTTATACATTAACATGTAGAAACTCCTCTACAATACCTCTTTATCATACAGAGTCTTTTATACATTTACAGGTAGAAACTCTTCTACAATACCTCTTTTTCATACAGAGTCTTTTATACATTAACATGTAGAAACTCCTCTACAATACCTCTTTATCACACAGATTTCTTTTATACATTTACAGGCAGAAACTCTTCTACAATACCTCTTTATCATACAGAGTCTTTTTTGAGTAGGAAAATTATAAATCTTGCTTTGATGAGTGTGTCACTTTATTTCAAAAGATGTTTTATGGATCCAAATTTCTATAATTTACTTTTTTCAGGATATAAATATTGCCAGTAATGTTGCCCGGGTCCTGGCTGCGAGAGAGGTCGGAAATAACAGACGCAGTATTTACGTCACAGCGCTAACTGCTGCGAAGGTTAGAAATCCATTTTTATAAATAATTCATTTCAGATTGATTCAGTTTTCAGCAAGAACTTTTACTGTCTTTTACCGCCAACTATAAAGAACTGTCTTTATAATTTCGAGCGAAAAATAAGATGGACATGAACCATGATTCACAAAAAAACTTAACCTTTGTCTGATCATTAATGTAGAAGATATAGATTTTTTTCTCGCTTGAAATTTGCCTAATTCGGATAATTTCCTTTATTGTTTCTACAGCATAAATGCACTACTCATTTTTGTGAGAAAAAAAGATAAACATGTTTATATCGTTCATATATTCTTTTATTCAGTTTTTCATTTATTCATTTGTTCATTTATTCATTTATTCATTTATTCCTTTATTCATTTATTCCTTTATTCATTTATTCATTTAGTCATTTAATTCATTTATTCATTTATTCATTTATTCATTTGTTCAGTTTTTTATTTATTAATTTATTCATCCTATCAGTTATTCATTTATTCATTTATTCCTTTACTCATTTATTCATTTATTCCTTTATTCATTTATTCCTTTATTCATTTATTCATTTACTCATTTACTCATTTACTCATTTTTCATTTATTCATTTATTCCTTTACTCATTTATTCATTTATTCATTTATTCATTTATTCCTTTATTCATTTATTCATTTACTCATTTTTTCATTTATTCATTTATTCATTTATTTATTTATTCATTTACTCATTTACTCATTTTTTCATTTATTCATTTACTCATTTATTCATTTGTTCAGTTTTTTATTTATTAATTTATTCATCCTATCAGTTATTCATTTATTCATTTATTCCTTTACTCATTTACATTTATTCATTTATTCATTTATTCATTTATTCATTTATTCATTTATTCCTTTATTCATTTACTCATTTTTTCATTTATTCATTTATTCATTTATTCATTTATTCATTTATTCATTTATTCATTTTTTCATTTATTCATTTATTCATTTATTCATTTATTTAATTATTCATTTATTCATTTATTCATCCTTTGATTTATTCATTTTTCATTTATTCATTCATTTTTTTATTTAGTTAATTAATTAGTCATTTATTATTTATTAATTTTTTTATTCCTTTTTAAGTATACCTTTATTAATGGATACATTTACTTGATTAAATGATTTGTATTTTAAATCCAGGGTCTGCTATGGGTTGGAACTAATGTCGGTATGGCTCTAACAATTCCTCTACCTCGGCTGGAGGGTGTCCCCATTATATCGGGCAAAGCAAATATATCCTACCATGCCCACTATGGACCGGTCAGGATGTTCCTCCCGGTCATGCAGAAGGTAACCTAATTTGAATAAACGATTTTTTTTCTCGTAATTTCTGCCGAAAAAAAGTATTTACTTAAGAAAAATTATCGATAGTTTGATCAATGTTCAAAGGCCACATTTTCAAAATATATATGCATTTTTTAGTAAGCCATTTACTTTAATTCCATTTAGTAAAGATTGTTTATTTTGTGAACAATCTAACGGCAATAGCCGCGAAAATAAGAATATAAAAATTATTTTGCCTTAAAAAAATATAAATAATTTTTTCCCCTTATTTCTAGTATATATATATTTATTTATTTATATGTATTTATATATATATATATAAATAAATAAATATATATATATTTAAATATGTATAGTTATTTTTCTTAATTTTTGGTTGATATTTGCAAAAAAAGGAAATTTGTTCAAAAATACGTTTCCTTCCTCTCTTCTACAAATGTCGCATTTTTCTGTAATTTTCGTTCAATCCAGTGAAGGTTATTATTGTGAATCGGCCTTGAACTTCTTTCAATGAAGGGTATCTTAAAACTTATATCTTTTAGATTTGCAAGTCTGAGACAGCCTTGACAAACTCTGCCTTGAAGCATGAAACTATACCTGAGGAGGCGGAGCTGGCCCGCCCTCCTCGCCATCCACTCAGTAAACAGGTAGGGTGGATTTATTTTTAAGAANCCCCCCCCCCCCCCCCCCCCGGAGTATGGGAGATGGGTTTCAAAGGACTGGGGGAAAATGAAAATCGAAAGGCAAGTTTTTCCACCTTAAAAATACTTAAATTCATTAATTTTCCCCCTAAAAACCATTGATCTTCCTCAATTCATCGCATAAAATCCTTAAATCATTTGCGCCCCACAAACATTCCTTTAAGGGTGGTAGGGGGGGGGGAGAAATAATTTTCAAAATAAGGTTATCATGGATGCTTTTCCAAGAAAATAAATAACCCTGTATCCCTTGTATGTACACAGGTTTCGGAGATATCAATATCTGAATCAAGACCGGGGTTTGTTAAACAGTTCTCTACACCCATACTAGGAGGGAAACGATCTAGGGATACTGTACTAAGGTAAAGGAAGTAGAACATTTGTATGTTCGATCTCAATATTCATTTTGGCAACTCTGGAATGAGAGAAATATATGCCTCGTCCTTCAATTTGTTTTCGTTTGATGCATTTAACGAACCGGATCCCATTGGACTTAATTTCATCCCCGGCTTAATGCTTAATCTTGGATTCACAGCACAAAAGTTTAAACCTCTGATGACTCTTCCATAATCTATCTCAGTTATCCTTTTCCTTGACTTTTCTTAAATACTCTGTAACGAAACTATTCGAGAGTTATTGCTAATATTTAGATTAAAGCATTAACATTTAAACTCTAATTTTCTATTTCTTACATCTATGCAATCTGATGTGGAAAACCTTTCGTAATTCAAACTATCATTTTTAGTATTAGCAGACAACCCATCATTCAATAAAGTGGGGGTCGAAATATGAAGTTTCAAATATCAGATATTAGATTGCAAAAAAATAAATTATGCTTGCTTCTTGAACTAATATTTCAGAAGGAAAGGAAAACATCTTTTAATAATTTCTATTTTTTTCATAATTTACAAAATATTTTAACTAAACGTATTTTAGGAAGTCCAGTAAGACGCTGCCACGTGGATTTACTATTGGGCCGGGCAGTGAGTCTTCAGGGGATAGTGTTTTTGGACTATATGGTGATCTCATGAACGTAGAGGTATTTATTTATTTTAAAGAGATTGCTCACGGTGAGCTGGGGTCAATTTTAATTCGAACCGGACCAACCCCTTGTACCGGCCTAAGTGACGTACGGCAAGTACCAGCCCGCCCCTATTCTATATGCCGGCTTGGTTTCAACTTTGATTGCGCGACCGGACTTTTTACAGTACCTGGCCTGTCAAAGGCCTATTTGACCTACACCACTAGCTTGAATGTAATAAGATAAAAAGCAATGAAGAGAATTTAATGATTAGCAAAGTAATTAGCAACAAATGAAAATATGGACTAAAGTTTTTTTTTAATGTTGCAATGAATAGAAGTAAATGATGAATAGCAGCAAATGAAAATGAAAATAAAAGATAAATTACAATGAATGCAAATAAAGATGTATTGTAAGAAATTAAAATAGAGGAATAGCAAAAAAAATGAAGAAATAAACTATAGCAATGTATAGAAATTGAGATGAAGAAGAAAGAAAACTATAATAAATTGAAGAGCATTATAGATAAATGAAAAAATGCATGAAAAAAATTAATGGATTCTTTTAAGGAATATGAATATGATACAACTGAGCTTGAGAAGAACAAGAATGAAATCCACAGGTATAATATCGATTTAATTTGATATGATTGGATTCTATATGATTTATGATATGATTTTATCGACAGAATTACCTACAAAGCATAAGACACTATATAATGAAGATCTAAAACTTCATAATAAAGGCTTAAATTGATAAAAGTAGTATAGGGGTCTTTACTCACTGTTGACGTAATTTCAAGTGGCCCCTTATTTAAAACAAAGTATTATCCCAACCACTTAAATCTTATTATTAATATTCATTTTAAACAATTTTATAGTTTTTTCTAATCGATCTTTCTTGCTAGATCTGACCCAGACCTTGATACGATCTCCTATCGAGTCAACACATTGGATCGCCGGGTCACTATGAAATCTCAGAGACCGAGATCGTTAGATCTTTCCTCCTGGTCTGTCGGATCCAGAGGTAAACTTTTCAAATATTGCGCAAATGCCCCGTAAATATTTCACCTTGAAAACGAAGACGATGCATAGCAAGAAGTTTCTTGTTTTGAAATTGGTATTTGTTATAATTGTGGGGAAGGGGGCAAACTAAAATTGATTCAATTTGTACGTTTTGTTTCTTTCCAATGTTTCTAAATTAAAATTTGACATAAACATCAAGATTATGCAACTAAACTAAAGCACAATAAAGATCTGAATACTTGCCAATAATTGTGATTGTCTAATTAATCCTGATATCTGTGTTGTTACCTGAAGTTTAAATCTGTGATAGTTTAAACTAATTATGACAGATCAAATACTAAATAGTTTGATATCTCAGGTTTACACAATCAGGTTTCAAATTTGACTAAAAAGTGTTAACTTCTTTTTTAACTTTTCAGTATTATTTCTATTATTTCTATTTTTCTATAAAGTTTTATTCCGTTTAGGTTCTAATCATACAACATCGAGCAGTGAAACAGGTTCGGTTCGAACCTCTCCTAGTGTGTCTCGAACTGCGAGCTTTGCTTCGAATGCCTCCAACACTTCCATGCATTCGAATCCAGGAGAGTCAAGCTGGACGAGCCCTATTAACAGGTTGAATATTTATTTTTGAAAAACAACATTTAAAAAATAATCTTGGTTTAAAATTAATGTTGTTTTGTTACCAATGTCTTATTTTGATTTTTCGTTTTAAACTGAATTATTTTCAGAACTTTGACGCGCGAAAATTCTGATGATGCTAGTAAATCCGCAAACAGTTGTGGTATGAATAACAACAATGGCAACAATGGAGGAGGAGGCAGCAACAACAATGGAGGAGGAGGAGGAGGGAAGGAAAAGGACAAAGATCAACAAAGAACTGTGATAACATTAATGGGAGGACGAGGATATATCAAGTTTGATCATGCGCACAACGAGCGGAGCAGAACACCGCAGCTGACGCAAATTTCAAATACTGACGCATATCTTGTCATTTGGGATCATAAAATTTAAACTCAGCTTTTGCTTTACTATTAAGGAAAACTGCGTAAATTTTTGTCTCAGTTGTAAGTTTGAAACCAGTAAATCCGCAAATAGAATTTACAATTATGTATACTGTACACAATTTGAACTCGACTAGTGCATTTCTTAAGAAATCTCCCAATCTAATTTATAAGAATTCTTCCCAAAATTATTCTCTGAAACTGTATGTAAACATTAGAAAAGTTAGATCATGTTCCAATCTGGTCAAATTATAAATGACCATTCATTTCCTTCAAAATGGTTTTTTCTTCAATTGATTTCCATTTCATTGTACGTGTACACTGTACATTCGAGTACCATAATCATTTGTACATTTGTAGCGTGTACCACTTTGCAAAGTACTTGAATGTTATCACTGCACTGTAAAGTGTACACCGATTTAATTAAACTTAAACTGGAGTAAAGAAAAAAATATTTTGCCGTTAGATATTTATTTTATATTTCTTGATCAATTCAATTTTTGTAAAACTTATTTAGGAATATTTGTGTTAGCAATGTATGTACCCACTACAGTTGTACTGTAAACTTGCTGTAGAGAACACATATAAAACCCACCTAACTTTTTTTTGAAGCTTTTTTTCTCAAAAGAGACGTTCCTAATTTCCTTCCGAGAAACATAAATCAAAAAATAAAAATAAATCCGATTTTTTAATTCCAAGTTGAAAAAATTTGCTCATTTTTAACAAAATTTTCCTGAACATCTCTTTTTTCTCTTTTTCAAGAGTTTATTATTCTGGCTGTGATTTCTCCTGCTGTGATAGCCTGTAATGCGCATGTGCGTCCTGTGCCTGCATGTGCCTGTGCGTCCTGTGAATTCTGTCAAGGAATAGTACCAGTTAATCATGTTTTGTGATTTTGATTAAAAATTTATTCAATGTATGTAAAAAAATATATTTAAACTTAATTCTGCGAGATGTAAAGTCAAATATGTCTTTTTAATGGGATTGTAGACATAATTTTAAGTAATTTTTATAGTTTTAAAATCTAATTTTTTTAACAGCATTCATTTATAAATAACAATTTCTCAATTTACTAAACGGACAATATGTATTGTAGTCACTTAAGAGTTTACAACATTTTTAGCAATAAAAACTCGGACTTTTTCATTATCGAGATCATTGATCAGATAAAGTTGTAACGACTAAAACCGTTGGGAATTGAACATGCTGCTCCATAAAATGGAAAATTACTTGAAATTACGGGAACTGTTCCTTTTATAATCTCGCTTTATGTAACATTGTTTTACATCACGTTTCCATAAAACAATATCTTTGCAACAATATCTTATTCTCTTATTTCTCCATGTAGGTGTATAGTATGTATGTCTGGTTGTTATATTCTCCTGCGTACATATATGTCATGTAAGAGTGATCTTTATAAAATAAAGAAAGTGTATGTATTGTATGTTAATCTGATGAAGAGATGGGTGTTATAATGTCCTTTAAAGGGAGTGTCTATGCTAGACATAGTAGTGAAGCTGAGAGTCCAGTATTGTAGAGGATAACTTCAGGATTCATTTTATACCAATGAAACATTTGTACGATGTACAATTTAGAATAAGAGCGTAGAGCCGTTTATAAAATTTCACCATTTAAGTTGTTGAAGTCAGCAGAAGAAACGTTTTTTACATATAATAAATAATGAAAAGCATGTAAGAAATTTTATTTTAGTTTCAAATTGAAAAAAGTGACATTTCAAACCCCTTCAGTGAAAATGAGATCACTCCGGTGGTCTCCAGTAGAATCGAAATCTTACTGAACACTACAATAATATCTACAGGGTGTCCCAATAAATATGGGAATTCAGTGACGAATTCGATATCGTCTTTTTAACCAATTCTTTGATTTGGTATGGTGATACTTACTGGGAAAGCTGTAATCTGTAAGAGTTTCGTCTGCTATGTTTACATTTTGTTTGTTTATATTTTGACTGCATACGGTTGTACTTAGTAAAACAAGAAAATTGCAGTATACAAACAGAGCAAACTTGTCCGTCTTCACTGTGCATCTTGCAGAGACATTAAAGACACATCTTTACAGCCATTTACCGTTTTAATAAAAAAAAAAAACTCTAGCAGACAAATTAATATTATGGCTTTTGAAATTAGGTATTACAACGCTAATTCATAACAAAGACAATATCGAATTCGTCACTGAATTCCCATGTCTTTTGGGACACCCTGTAGTAGTGAAGCTGAAAGTGCAGTATTTTAGAGAAAAACTTTAGGATTCATTTTATACAAATGAAACATTTTTTCGATGTCAAATTTTAAATAAGAGCGTAGAGTCTTTTACCCTTTTCATGAAATAATCTCTAGCAGGCATAATAATATTATGGCTTTTGAAATTATGGTATTACAACGCTAATTCAGAACAAAGACGATAACGAATTCGTCACTGTATTCCCCATGTTTTTTGGGACACCCTGTTTATATATTTGAATTATAGGGTCACCTAAATCTTCATATGAAGGGCCCCGGTTTATCCCCACCTCCCTAAAGATTAATTCTGCAATCCCCCTAACCCCTCAACAACCCCCCTTTAAAACATCTATAGTTGCACACCTAGGGTTTTGAACCTCTGAACTATTTGCTGACTCGATTAAAAAATCTGCGAATTCAGTTTTCATCTTTAAGCTTTCTAGAAAGCACTCTTTCCCCCTTTCTTCTCTTCTTTCTCAGCAGACTGAACCAATAGATTCCCCTCCAGTGGATTCTAGTTATATAATATTTATTGGATAGTTAGTCCGGTGTCAGCTGTGAACTTTAATATTTGTAAACAATAACATATTCTTCATTAAAATTCAATAAGAATACAAAATATTGAATGTCATGTCCGCAATTTGATTTCAAATTATTATGTTTTTAAATTTTTTGTTTATATATATTACAACCAAGGTTTTTTGAATAACCCATTAAGATGTTTTCTATGAAATCCACGAATGTCAAACTAAAAATCTGCTAAAATATACTTTTTAATTCAGAAAGTAACAATGTGCTGAGAAAACCAAAAACATCGTTGTCTGCAATGGCTCTAGCGTTATTACGCATGCAAAGCCCATGCTGCAACCTCCACAAAAATAGATTTGTTTATCAAAAAGTCATAAAAAATGGGTTGGAAAATATTGGTATCAGAGCTTGCTCCAGCAAAACTAAGGTAGGTGGAATATGCATATATAATTTTTTTCCGCATTACGTTTTTAGTGCCAGAAATTAGGACTTTTTCCCGAATACATTTTTGAGTGTGACTTTACTGGGTGTTACCGTTTATCGATTCCAACTGTGTTTGTTTATTTTCCTCTCAGAGACCATGCAGTACACTATTCCTCACAAAGACCTGCAGTACACTTCCTCCCAGAGACCATGCAGTACACTATTCCTCCCAGAGACCATGCAGTACACTATTCCTCCCAGAGACCATGCAGTACACTATTCCACCCTGAGACCATGCAGTACACTATTCCTCTTAGAAACCATGCAGTACACTATTCCTCTCAGAGACCATGCAGTACACTATTCCTCTCAGAGACCTGCAGTACACTATTCCTCCCAGAGACCATGCAGTACACTATTCCTCCCAGAGACCATGCAGTACACTATTCCTCCCAGAGACCATGCAGTACACTTTTCCTCTCAGAGACCATGCATTACACTATTCCTCCCAGAGACCATGCAGTACACTATTCCTCCCAGAGACCATGCAGTACACTACAGAGACCATGCAGTACACTATTCCTCTCAGAGACTATGCAGTACACTATTCCTCCCAGAGACCATACAGTACACTATTTCTCTCAGAGACCATTTATCTGAAAATTACAGTTTTAATGTTGTATGTTTGATTTCAAAACCAAAACTGCAGCCAATGACGTCATATAAATAAATTCCAAATGCATTATCTTCTTTTATTGGACTATCTTTGATCTAGTTGAAAACTATGAAAATCTCTAGCGTACATTATCCGATTCGTTAAACAGTTTCTAGCTGCGGTTTGCAACTAAATCTTAGCTAGAAAATGTCTCACGAATCGGACACATATTTCTAGCGTACATATTTCTTGAACTTTGTGTACAAAAATAGTTCAGTATACGTATATACAATTAACATGCAATTTAAAGTTGTTCGAAAAATAGGGACTAAATCTGTTTAAGTATTAAACTCTGAAAAGTGATATTTCGGAATTAAATATGTCATGAAATAAAGTCTTTAAGATATTCTCGAATACAAGATTTCAGAAATTTAATATTCAGTCCATGTCAAAAATAGAAATTTGTATAATGTAATGGTGGAAATAATAACGTGACAATCTAAATATATACTTTGTTTGGGTGTCTGTCCGTTTGTTTCCAATAAACGTCAAAACGACTAAATCAATCGGGGCACACCAGGGTGTCAAGAAGTTTTTTGATTTTGTAAAATTTTGAAAACTAAAGCGAAGATGCTCACAGATCGAGCCACAATTAAAAGTTGAAATCTTATTTTTTTATATTTATTTCTTTACAATTAACATGATTAAACTGAATTTATTTTAGTTTGTTTAAAATAAATATTTTTCTCAAAGCGTCATTCGAATAGAAGAATATATTTAACATACTAGAAATTCAAGGTGCCTCGCGCCCTTCTTTCTAGCCTATCTCCTAAATTAATTGTGAACATGTTCTCTTTGTGTACATCGTAAAACAAAACAAAAATAATTCGCGGATTTTCACAAAAAATTTCGCGGATTTTCAAAATTTTTAAAAATTTAATGACGATCGAATTTTGATGGAGACAAATATTTGAAATTTTGATGGTTCATAAACCTTCCTGGAGTCCCTAGATGTCCCACAAAAAATTTGGGCCCGATCGGTTCAGCCGTTTTGACGTTTATTGGATACAAACAGACAAACAAACAGACAGACAGACAGACAAGCCAAATTTATATATCATTTTTTAAAAATTCGCCAAGACCCAAAAAAGACAATATTTTCAAAAATGCAGCTTTATTCTTGTTTTATTTTTAACTTTCTAAACTTCAAATATATATTTTTGCAGATTAATTTACAGTCGGATAACAAACTAATATTAGTACCAAATATTTCCTAATTATATATTTAGGATCCTGACAGTGGAATGTTTGGTAAACTATTTGGTCCCAAGTCCAATATTGGTGGACCTAACACTAACAGATGGACCATGTTTGCACCAGCCGTTCTTACACACATCAGGAAATCATTTCCTTTTTTATTTTCAATAGTTTTTTTTAATTTTAGAACGAAAAACGCTTTTTTTATATGTGAATCATGAAATTATGCAAGTTTTTGCCAGAAATTCATCCCGGTTCAAACCGGCCCTAAATCACCGATTCAAATATAAAATTATAACTTTAGTAGAGGAACCACAATTGAAAATAGTAAAATTTCACGTGTAAAAAAGGAAATCCTCATAATTTTTGTTAAGACATAATAAATAATCATTGATTTTAAATGCTAATTAATATCTAATTAGCAAAAAATAAATTTTATAAGGTAAAGAGATCTGCTAATTTTTTTAGTCAAGAACTGAATTGAGCTGATGATTAGTTTGGGAGCCCCGTATGGTTGGTCAGCTGTATCAGCTGCACTAGCTAGAGAACACGGGTAACTCATCATTATCATGACAATGATGATAATGATGACAATGATGACAATGATGACAATGATGACAATGATGACAATGATGACAATGATGACAATGATGAAAATGATTTTTATCACTTCAGAATGGTTGTATCTGCTGCTACGGATTGGAGTATGGATCTGAGTACGTATCCTATGTCAATAATGATGGCTTTCGGTGGCATTTCAGCAGCACTTGTTGGAAAATGGCAAATGAAAGTGAGTCTTTTTATATTTTCAGTGCACAACACCTTTAATTCCGAGAAAACAACATGGCTGATAAATAAGTGACGATTAATCACTAAGATTTTAAAAAAAAACTTGGCAGCCATCAAAATTTTGCTGTCAAAAAGTGTTTTTTTTGGCTGATTCGGCCATCTAACATTTACTGTCAAATTTTTATTTCGAAATTTAGAGTGTAAGCTTTTAACATAAATTTCAGGTATCTTTTTTAATACTGTACATATCATTTATTTGGTTACTTTTATAGGTTGGTGTGCGAGCTGCAATGTTGACTGGCGGGCTATGTTTTGGTTCCGGGTTCATGATGGCTGCAGCTGGAGTACATATTCACAGTATAGGTAGAGTAGCACCCAATCAGGAACAACGAATGAGGTTTTTGTCAGAAACACATTCAAATTTTCTAATCTCTATACAACTTGATGCTTTACACCTTTGATATTTCAAACCTAAATTACTTGATCCAACAGATTTCACAGATCCTATGGTCTCCCACATTTGGTTCGCTTAGAAAAACAGAGTTTGTGGCAAAACTCAATTTCTTTGTAATTTGTAATATTTTAATAAATATTAAATCACTAAAGAGTTTATGGCACATCTGTATATATACAAAGTTGTAATCTCTGTTTGTTTGTCTGTCTGTTTGTTTGTCAGATCATAACTTAGGAACCCCTGAACCGATTTCTCTCAAATTTTGATTGGAGAACTTGGAAGAACCACGGAAACGTTCTTATGCAGCTTGATGTATAGATTCTAAATTGAGTAGGTCGACTTTAATAGCGAAAAAAATGTACCGGTAAAAATTAATCAAGTGTTTTCAAGTGCGGGTAAACGGTGGGATTAACTATTACTAACCTTGGTAACGCTGGGTTCCCAAGTACATTTCTAATCATTTCTTAAAAGTTTCAAAGTCCATTTTAACAATATCTATTTAGAAAATAAATAAATGATAATATTTTTATCATATTACTCTGATTAGCTCTGCTGTAACAAGAACAAGAACAAGAATAAAAAATTATTTAAGGAAACTTTCAGTATTTTCTTATTATTTACTTTCATAATATTTGCGTCACTTTTAACTAAACTAAACTAATGCTTTGTAAGGTCTGTTATATGCTGGAGCAGGATTATCAGGACTAGGATACGGGTTTGCATATACACCACCCATTCAGGTTAAACTAAACTAAACGTAAAAATTTTAATCCAAAACTACAAAATTTGTGAAGAAACCGTCTTGATTGATTTATAACAAGCATTTTTTATGCTCTCTTCCTTATGTGTTATCCTGCACAAACAAAATACTTATCCTACAAAGAAATTTTTTAATTAATTTAAGGCGACAACAAGTTTTTAATAAGAATTTGCACGAAATTCAATTTGTAGGGAAAAATTATTGTTGGGTTAATTAAATCTTATCTATTGCTCTTTTCTAAAAAAAAAATTTTAATCAATTTTAGACGACAGAAAGTTTTTACTAAGTATTTGCACGAAATTCTATTAGTGGGGAAAAAATTAAGGATTGGTTTTAAATCTTATGGATTGCTCTTTTCTAAATAAAAGATCTCTTTTTTTTCTTTGCCGTAACCCTCTTAAAAAAATAGTTTTACACTCCCATTTTTTAAAGAACTTAATAGCATTGTTTAGAAAAATAGATTTTACTTTTTTGTTTCTTTTTTTACCATGATATGCACAAGAAAACGTCAGAAAACAAAAAGAAACAAATAGATATTTTTTAGATGACATTTTAAAAGGTATTGTCAGTAATTAAAGATGTGTCTAATGATCATATTTCCTTTAATTTGTGTTCCTTCAGGCTTTGATAAACTGGTTTCCTGACAAGAAGGGGGTAGCTAGTGGATTAGGTAAAAATATACTTTAAAATTACAAAAAAAACAAATCCGTAAAAACATATATTGAATTCTATTAAATATTGTTAACAATATTTATACATTTTTTAAAATCGTACTAATTTACTTTTAAATTATTAAAAGCTAGTCGGTTAAGGGCGAACCCGTGCACTGTAAAATAAACAGAACTATACCCCTGCACTGTGAACTAAACAGAACTAAACCTGTGCACTGTGAACTAATCAGAACTAAACCCCTGCACTGTGAACTAAACAGAACTAAACCCCTGCACTGTGAACTAAACAGAACTATACCCCTGCACTGTGAACTAAACAGAACTAAACCTGTGCACTGTGAACTAAACAGAACTAAACCCCTGCACTGTGAACTAAACAGAACTAAACCCCTGCACTGTGAACTAAACAGAACTAAACCCGTGCACTGTAAACTATACAGAACTATACCCCTGCACTGTGAACTAAACATAACTAAACCTGTGCACTGTGAACTAAACAGAACTAAACCCCTGCACTGTGAACTAAACAGAACTAAACCCCTGTACTGTGAACTAAACAGAACTAAACCCCTGCACTGTAAACTAAACAGAACTATACCCCTGCACTGTGAACTAAACAGAACTAAACCTGTGCACTGTGAACTAAACAGAACTAAACCTGTGCACTGTGAACTAAACAGAACTAAACCTGTGCACTGTGAACTAAACCTGTGCACTGTGAACTAGAACTAAACCTGTGCACTGTGAACTAAACAGAACTAAACCTGTGCACTGTGAACTAAACAGAACTAAACCTGTGCACTGTGAACAGGTCTTGATGCATTATTACTGACAATACATGACGCCATCGTACTTCTCTTATAGTTTTGATTTTTCAAATATGAGAAAAGAAATTTTGTCTATTTACTTTAGTTTGACCTGAAACTTTAAAAATACTGTCAAATGAGTTAGAAACATGAACGTTTCCTTTCTTTTATAAGAATGCTAAACAATGTACTTTATGTACTTTATGTACTACATACGCTAAACTTCCTTGTAGAGAAATAAATCATAAATCAAGGAAGTTGAATTGAATCAGAAATACTGATGAGCAAGTCCAGTTTTGGCCGGTTAAAATACAATGCACTTGCTTGAGAACCTAGATTTGCATGGAAACTAAACTTTCACCAACCTACTTAACTTTTGTTTAGCCAAGCCCCTAACAATTCCTAGGGTTCCTGAATCAAAATTTGATTCAAATCGGTTCAAGGGGTTCATGAGTTAAAGTCGGACAAACAAATATACAGAGATTAATATTTTATCGCATATAGATATGTAAATAGTTACGTTAAGTGATTGGAGGGTTTGGGTCTGGTGCGCTGTTCTTTACTCCAGCTGTAAATACTCTTTGTGAAAAATTCGCAAAGCTTCCCGTCTATCTCGGAAACAGGTATTCTCTTTATAAGATACATAGATTATTTAATTAACTTGTTTTATTATTTCATTAGGTTCAATTCAAGATTTGTGATTATTATTAGTTAAATAATTATTTTAAAAACTTGCATCACTTTTATACAACAACATACAGGGTTAACCACAATAGATGAGACGAAATTATTAATTTCATTTTCTTATATTCATGATTTCCTTCAACTGTAAACTTGCTTTTTTCTCTGTTCCAAAAATTTAAGAATCCAATAAAAGACTATATTTACAGCAGAAGACTTTAACCTTAACTTTTGGATCGTCTGTTTGTCAGACTTTTGGTCGTCTTTACAGTCTCATTGTTGTAGCTAACCCTGAGTAATATTGTGGTTGGCATTTATGTGAATAAAACAAAGACGACTTTCTATTCAAGTTTGGATTTCTAACAATTTTTTCAAATTAGAAGTTTACAAGTTAACAAAGAAAAGATGTTTACTGACAGCTTCTCTTTGTTTCCATGTTTATGTGTATCAAAACTGAAAGCTTTGTAGAAATCAAAATTGAAATGGAAAGTGGTTTGCAATGTATTGATTTATATGACGACGATGACTGAAGTTAAATTTTTATTTTTTAGCATCGATGTGGTGGTTGAGGAATGCTACTATCAAATTGAACTTTTATCAAAACTATTCCTGCATAATCTGGTCAAACCTCATTTTAATGTGTCTATGGTCTTTCGATTGTCAGGACAGAAAAGACGACATTTACAATAGGCTTACACGAAATTATTTGTTTAGAGGAGCGGAAATCATTTGCCATTTTGTTTAGAAATTATTAATTAATTGAATTGTTCTGTCAGTATTTCGCATATTATGTATTAAGCAATAATTATAAAGCAATCACGTTTTTTCAATCTGTATTATGAAGCTCTTCACTCGTTCATTTATATTTTGTCATTATAGCTGGTCTTACGGATTGACCTAATTGCCTGAAATTTGTCGAGGGAGGCAGAGAAAAAATTTGAAAGTTTTGAGATATATATAATTAATAATAATATAAATCTGGGCAACGCCGCCTGGGACTCTAGTCATTCTAGTCAGTAGATCTAATTGTAATCAATTGTTTACGCATTTTTTATATTTTTTATTGAATGATTAATTGATAGCATCATCTGTAGGGAGGTCGACAATTCACAAAGATTGGAGATAACCTGCAGGTAGAATATATCGATACAGGTAGAATATATCGATACAGGTAGAATATATCGATACAGGTAGAATATATCGATACAGGTAGAATATATTGATACAGGTAGAATATATCGATTCAGGTAGAATATATCGATACAGGTAGAATATATCGTTACAATGAAGATTATTTTCTAACTTAATTTTGGATTTCTACCAAGCTTTCAAACAGCAAAAACACTTAAACATTTGAACCAAGAAAAGTTATCAATGGACAGTTTCTCTTTGATACTTGTAAACTTGTAATTTAAAAAAGGCTTGTTAGGGATCAAAGCATAATTAATAAAAAGTCGTCTTTGTTGTATTGGTATAATCGCAGACTACTACGAAACCTTAGAATCGACCGAAACAAATATTATTTCTTTTTTATTTCTATGTAAGTTTGACATGTCTGTTTCTGTTTGTTTGTTGGTATGTTTTTTTTTTTCAATTTAAAAGCGTTCAGAGGTTTAAGAAAAATATGGAGCTTTACGTTAGTAATAAATTGCCTATAGCAAAGAATCCAAAAATTAAAGAACTCACGCCACATAATACAAGGAATATATTGTTTTATAATGACTATATAATAATGAAATTATTGATCTAGGAGGTCGTCTTTGCAACAACCAACGACCTAGTAAAACTTCCTTACCAGGTTAAACACTTAAGTAGTTTAAAAAATGCTGACATTATTATAAATTTTTTTAATAAAACTGGGTGATATAAATAATTGCCAGGAAAGTAAATATTTTGATTTATGTAAAATTTGTTTTAAATTTAGAATTTATTAAATTAAAAGCAAAAAATAATAAAGAGGATAAAAAACATTTATCATTTCAATGAGCTTCTCTACTATTTATTTTCAACGAATCCCAATCTTTTGACATATGTGTATGTACATATTTTAAGCATTTTTATAAATCTTAGTTTAGACATGCATTTGTTTTACATCGAGAAACTGGAAATTTTTAAAATTTTTCTGAAGTATATTGATAATTTTATATTCTCATAAACTATCTAACTCTATTACAAAAAAAAAGAAAAAAATTGTAAAGAGCTCTTCTTCTAACTTCGTTTTCATCAACGTGCTTGCAGTTAGATCACATCATAAATAAGATATGATACAGAGTTACCCATAAAGAATACGACTGTAAAGACGACTAATAGCTGTTAAAATATGAGTTTCCCAAGTTTAAATTAAGTCTTCTACCTTGAATGTGGTCTTTAAATTGTTTATTTAATGATCTGGCAGAAAGCAAGAAAACATAGTTGCAAGAGAATCCTAATTATATGGAAACGGACAGTTTAATTCATGTACAGTCGTCTCTTGAAGTCTTGCTCTTTGTTGGTAACCCTGTATACACACTGTACCTGTACTTGTACACTTAACACTGTACAGGGGCTTTCGGAAGGGTTCTATCTTGTTGGATCTGGAAGTACAGGTGTAGCTACAAGTCTAGCTATTCTAGGTATATATTTTGTAGTTTTAACCAGTTTTGATAAATGGAATCACCTCTACCGACCGTTTCAAATCCTGTTAATTCTAACTGTTTTATTGTTCGTTTTAACTGTTTTACTGTTCGTTTTAACTGTTTTTTGGTTCGTTTTAACTGTTTTATTGTTCGTTTTAGGGGTATATTGTTCATTTTAACTGTTTTTTTTGTTCGTTTTAACTGTTTTATTGTTCGTTTTAGGTGGTATATTGTTCATTTTAACTGTTTTATTGTTCGTTTTAGGTGGTATATTGTTCATTTTAACTGTTTTATTGTTCGTTTTAGGTGGTATTTTGTTCATTTTAACTGTTTTATTGTTCGTTTTAACTGTTTTATTGTTCGTTTTAGGTGGTATTTTGTTCATTTTAACTGTTTTATTGTTCGTTTTAACTGTTATGTTGTTCGTTTTGGGGTTTTATTGTTTGTTTAAACTAACAACACAGTGCTTCTTTTACAGGGCCCAGAGTTAAATGGAGGGTCACTTAATTGTATAACAACAGTAAAGTAACAGATGTGAAGATATGGTTTACAAAGATCGTTCTTTTCAATTGTTTTTGTTCAACCATAATTATCAGTTAGAAATTCCTTGGAATTAGAGCTTTATCAAGGATAAAACACAATGTTTACAGGTTCTGGAGGAAAATGGGAGATTTTGTTTTCTATATTCACGAAACCTTTCACTGCCATAATGTAAGGTTTTCTTTATCTATGACATATTATATAGGTGCCCTCTACACTTCCACAATACTAACTTCAGCATTGTTGATCAAGAAACCAGCTGATGGATTTCTACCCAAGGGATACACTCCTCCAGCTACAGCAGGTTAGACATTGATAACAAACAGGCGCGTACACAAGATTTTAGACAGAGGGGGGGAGGGCAAGAAGTGCAAGAATATTTGTTTTGTCCTCTCCCTGTCCTTTGACTTGCTGTCTACATGTCCCCTCTCCCCAATTCTGTATAGTTCTGCATGTTTCTCTGTAGTCCTGAGTTACGAGTAGTCTCCTGAAGACTATCATTAGTCCCCCGTCCTCAGGCCTTCATGGGGGTTGCGGCAAGACTTGCCAAACACTTTTATAATTCACATTTCTATAATCTGTTATCAAGAAGCTGTAGATAAAAGAAAAACTACTTTTTAGGGGGGAAACACTCCTTTGCAGATAGGACCAGGCTCATTTTTTACTTACACCGCTCCTCTTTGCACAGTCCTTGTAAAATTCCTGATTACGGGCCTGTAATAAGTATGTTAATCAAATATATATAATCTGGATAATTATATAATCTGGTATATCTAGAGTGTGGTATCATTAGACCACTATAATCTGGTATATCTAGGGTCTGGTATAAATGTACCTGTGGATAATCTACTGAGGACTCCACAGTTCTGGTTACTCTTCTCTACAGCTTCTCTCCTGGCTACAGGTATTTTCAACAACAACAATATTTTAGAGGAAACTTTTTTCTAATTTATGATTTTATTTTTTAAGACGATTTTCAAGTCGTCTCTTATTAATTCCCATGTTTATTGGGACACCCTGTTTATTAATACTGTTTAGGTGGTATGGGATTGATGTCTGTAGCTAAACCTATGATCCAGAATGTTTTCGCAGGTTAAACTTATTTTTTCATAGTATAATGTGCTTAGATTAGTAATTAGAACCTGAAATTGTAGTCTTGAAATAACGTCAGAACTACAAAGATCACGAAAAAAATTAGAAATCGAAGGTCATTGACCTTCATTTTGACCTCCATGAACTCAGAAAATACGGGAAAATGTATTTTTTTGTTCTAATTCAATTATTATACAATAAAGTCATCTCAACTTTGATGTATACTACTATCCTTTACTATACTTTACTATACAATACTATACTTTGCCTCGAACATAAGTTTTTTGGTACAATAGTCCACCCACTCAATCGGACATACAAAGAGACAAACAGTGATAACTGCTTTATAATTATTTTTTTCATATTTCATCTTTTTCCATTTTTTAGTCCAATAATTAAAAAGATTTATTTATATTTTTAGAGTTTAGGCAAAATTTCATTTTATTTTTTAGCTCTGTCAAACAAAAATTAAATTGAAGATATTCAGTTTGATCAACATTGTGCAAATATTTCTTAGAATTGAAGTTTTGAATAAACTATGAAAAAAGTGCAAAAAAAAATTTTAAATAATTTTGAAATTTTTTACTTTAAACCCTTTTTTTCTTTAGCATAAACAGTAAACACTTTACACCATATAGCGGTCAAACTGCCTTAATTTTCCAACTTGATAACTATGAAAATTCTAAAACAGCAATGTTTTTCAAAACCACCCTAGCACCAAAATCATTAAAAGTCCAAGGTATACATTTTAATGGGCTCACCTAAGACAAGTTGGACTATTGTGGTGTCAAGAACGGCCCCCCCCCTCTCCAACCTATATTTTACCAAAAAAACTAAAAAACAGGAAAGGGGTAAAGATGTAATTCCTTGTTTAGGGTCAATGCCTAATCTTGTGACGCCTGGGTTTGCTTCAGCATACTTGATGGCCTTAGCAGCAGGAAACCTTGGAGGAAGGTGAACAACAATTTAATTCATTTATTTGGCAGAAATTTTCTAAAATTCTATGGATTTTAATGAGGAACAAAAAACATTTAGATTTTAATCCATTTTAAGTTTGTATGCTTTAAAAGTTTTTTACCTTTACTAAGACAGAAAATATCTTAATCTTCAAAAATTAAAGTTCTTTAATTCCAAATTGAAGGGAAGGGGAAGGGAGGGGAAGGGTATTCCCTCCAAAATTCAATCTGTCAGCTCTTGATTAAATTTTTCTGAATTGCCAATAATAAAACATTTTCAAGGCAAACTTGTTGTTTGTAAAAAACTACGAAATTTTTTTTTAGAAAGAAAAACATAAATAGACCAATTGGACATACCGTATCAATTTTCTGGACATTACCGCATCAATTTTCGAGATAAACATTCAAGTGAAAAAATAAAAATAAAAAGACTTTTAGATAAAATTCAAATGAACAACAATTTTAGAATAGGCTGGGCTGCTGTATCCGACAGAGTTGGAAGATGGAACACGTTCCAGGGTTTAACGTTCCTTGCTATTCCTATATTTGCACTCTCACCGTTCCTCATCAATAATTGTGTACTAGATCCAACAGGTTACTATCCTAAGGGGGCAGGGACACCCCCACCTTCCCCAGTAATCACACTAAAGCTTATTATTTGGAGAGGGCAACACCCCCCTTTACCAATTACCACACTAGAGGTTACTATGCAGAGGGGGAAATATCCCCCTTTACCACTCATCCTTACTACACCTTAAAGGATGTTTTCGCAAAAAAATTAAAGGAGGTATAGGCTTACGGCAAAAAATAAGCGCTTTTGATCGCTTCTAATCTTACTTCTATCTGTTGCGTCTGTAAGGAGAATTTTTTTGGGGCCGTAAGCCTATACCCCCTTTCATTTTTCGCGATCACTCCCTTTAAGTTTCCCCCTTTCAGGGGACTTTCATTGTAATTGCAAGTTTCCCTCCATTTAAAATAAAGGGGCATGCTTGGTTCATATTTTATTCTGTTTGATGTTTCTGAAGCAAGAAATTATCATGTCACTTTTGTAGAGAACCCACAGTTTAAAATAATTAGTTTTAAAATACAAAAAAAATGGGCATCTTAGTCATGCTTGATAAAACTTAGGTTAATTAAGAATACCTTTGTTTATCTGACATGCCACTCTATAAATAGACACTTACTTGAAATTACGTTAGTTAAGTCTGTGTAAGCATTTTTAGAGACGTTGCCAAGGCCTGTATTCTTTTTGTTTTTATTTTAGATTTCTTTCTTTCTCTGATTATTCTAAAGTTTAAAGGAATTGAAGTTCCAATTTCTGTCTTTTTTACTCTGTACACTCTACACTGTACATTGTACATTTACATTGTACACTGTAGACTTTACACTGTACATGAACACTGTACACGTTCACTGTACACTGTACACTGTACTCTCTCACTATACACTGTGCAGGACCGTATGCTCCCTACTATCTGGGTGGATTCTGCTGCAGTACTGTACTCGCCTTGTCTGTTATGGGCGGAGTATTCTCTGTACTCCCAGCTTACGAGGCGGATCTTTTCGGTTCTAAATATATCGGAGCCATTCATGGTCGCTTCCTCACATTCGGTGCAGTAGCTACCGTTGTCGGTCCTACACTGCTTCTCAACCTCAGGAGGATTGCAGAAACACAAGCTATTGCAGGTAGTGGTTTGCATAAGGTTGGTTCGGTTTCTGAAAATATTTTTTTTCAGGGTTAAAATTTGGCATAGTGTTAAAAAAAAATGTGTTTAAAATTGTTTATTCCTAATGTTTAATTTTTTACTTTGTCACAAAATATTTAATAAAACCGGGCAAAAAAACAACACGAAAAAGTGTTAAGATCGTTTTCACATTTTTTATTCAATAAAATAAAACTTTGTCTTTAGTTTTTTTTAGTTTTTTTTTAAACAAACCAAAACAAGTAACAACAATTAAATATTTATTCTAGGAAATAAAAATAATGTCAATTCTGTAAGCCTGCAAAAACTTTTAAATTTTTGTTTTATTTACAAAGATTTTACATCTTTATTTTGTCTTGGGTCTGACTATAAAAATTTAGAAACAGACATTTATGACAAAAATTAAAAAATTTTATGAAATAATCAAAAACTAGTTTTTTTTATTGCAAAATATTGTAGACCTGTTGAGTAAGGTAGATCCTGAAGTTTTCCTTGAAAAGTTTGGAGTTGGAGTAGATTCTGCTGATTCCTTAATTCAAACAAAAACTTTGACTATTTCTAAACTAATGTCAATCCTTCCTCCTGAAACAATTGATCCAAGGTTTGTTAATTCTTTGTTATTAAAACTTAACATTAATGTATTTCGTCAGAGCTTACGAGTACATATCTAGCTAAGTGCCCGGCGATGCCCTTAGAATTTGAAAAAATTTTTAAAAATTTCGAATTTTAAAGAAAAATGTGGGTTTCCTCAAAAAATGTTGGCCAATTTGGTCCAGCCGTTTGGCCAGCTTTAGCTAACACATAAAACATAGATTATTTTTCCATTTTATTGCTGTTCAAATTGTTTCGTGTCTTAAAAAGGGTTTCCAGCGAAAAGGGAAAATAGATTTGCTAAAACTTCGCATTTTTCGCCAAACAATATTTTCGCCGAAAATTTCGTATTTTTTCGCATTTCGTTCGCTCGAGAAAAAAATGCGAAAATATTTGCTTTTTTGCGAAATTTCGCTTTAATCTGTTTCGCAAAAAAATCCGAACTTTTTGCAAAAAAACACGCAAGAGAAATTTCTAATTAGGTTATAGTAAAAGTTCTAGTACTGAGCTCTCAGAGCAGGAATTCCACAAGTTGTGTTGCGAAATTAATTACAAATATAGCCTAGCAAAATCCCAAGTAATACTTGTGTTATTTAATTTAAAGATAATATTTAACTTGTTTTAGTCCCTTCTTGTACAACAACACTATGTACACAATGGCTGGGCTGGTCAGCTGTGCATCACTTCTACATTTTATGGTCAAACCTGTGGATAAGAAATATTTTGAAAAACCAGTTTAAAATTGTATGTAAACACAGTGTACAACTATAAATTTAACATTTATAAATGTTTACAGTTTTTGTGTGGGTAGCAAAAATAGTATAAACTTATTGTTCAATATTCATGTTTACTCTGTACCGTTTCTACCTTTACCTAAACAGAATTGTTATGTTTTTTATTCACCATGTTTAATGGTTCTATTTTCTTCCTTAGGATTCCCCGCTATAATATATTATATTTATTTGAATATTGTAACATTTGTTAATATTGTAAGGTTTTGATATTTCTGTAATATCTGTAACTTTCAATTTGTCTTTGAGTAAAAGTAGCGGGGCTTGTTAGTTTTAACGCATTTTTCATGATTATTTAAAAAATTATAGATTGGTAGAAATGCATATTTTTGTAGTTCTTTTTCTAATTAAATATTTTATAGATTTATAATAGCTTTGTTAAGAATTTAGAAACAATAAGATTTTATAATATAAAAAGTATAAATTTAAAATTTGGAAGCTGAAATGTTCGATAAAATATGGATTTCCTTAATTCTTAAAAGTATTACTCATTCTGTTTCTTCATGTGTATTGTGTAGTGTTTATATTGTATGTAATTTTATAGATCAATACATTGTTCAAGTTCTATTTTTGTAGATTTGTGGAAATTGGTCTGACATGCTTGTACAGTAGTGCTTGCTGTAAATAGTCTAAGGTTGAAATATCTAAGGTGTACACCATAATGATGCAAAGGTATAAGGATTAGAAAAGACTAAATTCCTTTCCTCGATTGTTACTTAACAAAAACAATCCCTTCAAGTGTGAATCGGACAAGACCCAGTACTTATAACTTGAAATCGCACCCACTATCTTTTTATTACAGATTACAATTTTTAAGCACAATTACTTTCTATTGACATGTATACACACTTCTTCTATCCGTCTCTTCAAAACAAACTGAAATAATAGATCTTAAACTTTATTTCGGATATTTATATATATATATATATATATATATTTGTGTTCTCAAGTAGATTTATATTTTAACAATTTTTTTAGATTTTGTAAACAATTATTTTTTTGTTTAAAAGTTAAAGAAACCGAATACTCTCCACAAATTCTAATTTCTATTCCCTTTACCTTCGCAAGTTCACGACTTGATAATGTAAAGCCGTAATATTTCAAACTGCAGGGTTACACACAAAATATTAGACTTCAGAGACGACTGTAAGGAATTTATTCCTAACATTCATAAATCCCTTCTGTTAACATAATAGGATCATCATATTGTAAGAGTTTATAGTCTCATCCTTTGTATGCAACCCTGTATAAAATCTGATCAAATAGACCATGATTGAAATATTAAAGGTTTACAACATCAGGTTGAAAACAGGTTTGTATGCAACCTTGTATAAAATCTGATCAAATAGTCCATGATTGAAATATTGAAGGTTTACAACATCAGGTTGGAAAGATATATTGATGATACAAAAACTTTGTTTGTGGCTAATGTTAAGTTTTTCAATTTGTGATAAAATTTGCTTTAGTGACTAAAAATACTTTTACAATTCAGATTCCATTCAGATTCCATACTAGATTTCATGCCTCACGTTTTTCATTATTTAGTTTCAGGTACAATCACGTGGGATTAAAAAAATGATTCTTTTATTAAGGGAAACGTAGTTTTTTTTATGAAGTTTGTATAATTTCTGTTAGGATTTTGTTTCCATATTTCTCCGATCTTCCTGTCTCTATGCTGCTGGATAGGAGAATAGTCCTCATTTCGTCGCCTGGAAGAAAAATTATTTTTAGAAAGGGGTCATAAAGAGAAATATTTTGAAAAAGGGTGGAACTTTTTTGTGAAACATAATTTTTCTCAATCTAAAACCAGAATTTCTTACAAGAATTGTTCACATTTTTATGAAATTTGTATTAGACTTTTTTAAACATCATATCAGATTTTCCGGAGAATAATCTTTTATAACAATCCTCAAAATTTTAGAAAAATTGTAGACATTTTCTCTAACCCTGTAACATTTCCGATTCCAAATTTGAGAAGTTTTCAGAATATTTATTATTGTACATAGTTGAATTATACCTGCAGCACTGAGGTACAACACAGCCGTATGTACAGCAGTATATCACGGGAAGCGCTATCAGGAAAACTAAATAAATAGATCACTGTGATTCAAAACAACTTAGAAATAACGATACAAAATAGCAAAAAGTTGTTTAAGACAGATAAATCTAAGAAAATTCTTTTCGAATCTAATTTTCTTTTCTTAAAATGTTAACTAGATAGAAAAGTTAAAAGGTAGAGGTGTATGTGAAACTTTTTCTAGATTCAACATTTTTGTAAATTCATGCTTCGCGCGAATGTTTGATAAAATCCGTGATTGTGATTTATCTGAATAATATTTGAATTCAGTATGAAATAAGAACAAAAACTTTAAATACATGAATCTTTATCAATAATTGTTTGTTAAAAATATATGAAATCAAAAATATTTTTGATGATGAATAAAAAACAATAACTTACCTAAAACAACAAAAGCAATGCAGATAACAACAATTTCCCAGGTCTCAAGAAAAGTTCTAGAATTGCAAAAAATAAAGAGAATTTTCCATAAAATTCTTATATAAACTGTAATTCAAATTGTCTCTTTACAGGGGATCCCACCAAACGTGACACTCAAGAGAGGTATTAAAGGTCGTCTTTGATTTTTGATATTTGTGCGATGTCAAAGTGAATCTAAAAAAGATGCACGACTTCCAACTTTTCTAGAAAATTGTCTAACGTAGTTCCAAAAATGTGCTTGCCAGCCGTATCGCTGGTCGCGGGGTGCAATTTAAGCTTAGTGTTTCAAAAAGTAAAGAAATCGTAAGTTACTTCTTTGTCAAATTAGTAATTTCAGTCCGGGCTAGCGGGCAGGCGGTCCGCGTAAACGCTGTATCTTAGCTATCAAGGATTCAAGAATTAAACTGTTGAAATAGGTTTCCGATGAATGCCGCAAAATATTTCAAAGATTAAAGACGATAGTTTCTGTATTAATTTTCATATCTGGTGGGACCCTCTGTGTTCTTTGTCCCAAATGACGTGACGTGCCCATTTGCAAACTAACTTTATAGCCTATTACATCTCTTTGTAAGTTTACAGCACTTAACTTCGTTTTCATTTTAAACTCAAAGAGTTTTGAAGAACGTTTATTCTAAATAAGGAAAATGAGATTTTAAAAAGGATGAGAAGAGCCAAATTGGGGAGGAGGTCAGACATAAAGGAATAAAATGAAGGATGGGGGGGATAGACATGGAGTAAAAAACGTGGGAGGAGAGGGGGGGAAGAGATTAAATGTAGTTTTCCTTGTCAAAACAAACTAAGGAATTTAAATTCTTTTCGTGCATTCTCCACATCTTTAGTTAGCCAAATAATTGTCTGACTGACTGACTGACTGGCTGACTGACTGACTGACTGACTAACCTGAAGGGTAATAGTTTTCCTTCTTCTTCTTCTTCATATGACTAGAAATTTAATTTCATTTATAAAAATATTTTATATTATATTTCAAAGTGCATATTTTTCACCATTTAACAATCATCTATAAATTTTATATATAAAATTTTAATCATTGTTTTCAGTCTGTTTGTTTGTCCGATCATAACTCCGGAACCCTTGGACCATTTTGCCACAAATTTTAAAAGGGGAACTTTGGAGGCCGACGGGAATACTCTCAGCTTGGTTTTAAGATTCTTAGTTGAGTGGATCAACTTTAAACGCGAAAATTTAGTTTCTTCTTAAAATCGTTCAAGTGCGGGTAAACGGCGGAAGTAACTTTAAGTAACCTTTCGCTGGGTTCCCAAGCTAGTTAATATAAAGTTAAAGGAACTGTCATAGTAATTTAAAAGTGACTCTTTATGCAAATTCTCGATTCATTATGGTATCCTTTAAACCTTTATCTGATTAATAAAGTGGAAGATATTGTTGATATTCTAAGAAAGTTATTAAACCAAACCGTACTCTAATAGTCCCTGTGAGATGAGAGTTTAAAATACAGTGTGATTAAATAAAAATAACATTCCTAATTTGGGAAAATTTCGAATTAAAATTGTTTATTCTGACATTCAGTTTTAAAAATATAAACATTGATATCTTCTTATTCATAATTGATCAGACAAAGCTTGTTTGGAGGGTCTCTTGAATTTACGCTTACAGTCAATTAAATCGTCAAGAAATACAAAATATTTTATGAGCAAATGCCATTTATGTTTTTAATATTTTGTTACTTACTTTTGTTGCCGTCTCGGTTATATTAACCTTCTCCAGGCAGTTTACAACAGAACTATTTATTAAAATAATTGATCATCTTCTATAAAATTGTGGCTTGTGTGTATATCTGTATATCTGTCTGTCTGTCTGTCTGTGGGCCAACTTACATGACCCCAAATGTTGCCCAGAAAGTAATGTCAACATTTACTGTTCTGAAAATGCGCAAATTTAAACAGAAAATAAAATAAAAACAATTTACACAGAAAAAAGTGAGCTTTATAAACAGCTAAAGTTATTACAATTGTGTCAGAAGCTCATAAACGTAAAAACAGGTCAAAATTTATGTGAAATCTGGCATTAGGAGTTTATATTAATTTTTCAAACGAATTTCTTATCGAAATATAATTAATAAAAACAAAGATGTCGTATTTAACATATTCAAGATTTTAATTAATTTACAATTTACAGTAGCTTAGAGTGAAATAAGGATGCAAATGATCAAAAATCCTTACAAAAATTCGCAATAAAAATGAAAATTTCAAATAAACGTGAGCGCTAAAATAAATCAAATCTTATTTTTTTCTCTAATGTTAAAGATTAAGATGTCCAATTGAAGTTCCTGAATGCTAACAGAAATATCCCAAGAACAGAGATTAAAAATCCAGGTTTTCGTCTCCAAAAAACAAACATTTTAAAAATCTAAAATCTGAAAAACATTTTTATTAGTTTTATTTTTTAAAGAAATATTGAAATAATCACTGCCAGATCTAATGGTTAAATTCAAGATATTAAATACACCATCAGGTTATAAAGATATAGGGATTAAGAAATTTTGGTTTGTTGCAAGTGTTCAGTTACTTTACAACTTGCTCAATATGTAAGGACTCAGTGGATCGGGAGACTGAAATCTTTTACATAACATACGTATTACGTACAAAAGAATTGAGTCTTTGTCACAAACTCTGGTTTTCTAATCCATCAATCTTTGCAGTCGTCATAGACCTTAACCCCATCAGGCTGTAAGGATATAGGGCTTTTAACATTGGCAAGGACTCACTTCCTTTCATGAAACAATATTTTGATGGGGAATGTTTTTGAAGACACTTACTTTTCGATTTTGACTTTAAAATGATAAAAAAATAAACTTTTTGGACAGTGTGCCCAGTTTCAATGTCTAGCAAATGATATTCCGACAAATGTTACAGATTTTTCTCACTCATTTAAGTTTAATGATGTGTGGTAATTATATAACTCAAGATGTAAATGGATTCATTTTGAAAAATGCGCAAACCTGTTGATCAAGTTTTTTGAATTAGTTTGAATACGCTGGTAGAAAACTACTAGAAAATAAACAAGTTATTATCTTTTGTAATTAATAGATAGATAGATCAAAATTTTCCGATCATACAGGGTGTCCCAATAAACAAGAGAATTTTAGTGACGAATTCGTCTTTTAAAACACTTATTTGATTTAGTGTAGTAATACCTACTGAGAAGGTTGTAATCCGTAAGATTTTCGTCTGCTATGTTTACAATTTACAAAATACAAAACAGGGAACAGACCTTTAATTCATATAAGGTTTTCTTTACATTATTCTTTTTATTACCGTATATATTATAATGGTGAATATGCATGGTTATTCGTGGCTGTAATTACATTGTCATGTTAAAGATTGGCCACAGTGTACAGTATCCATATCAAGGTTGTATAATAAGGTTGATTACTCTTGATGCGCTCCAACGTAAGGAAAATGTCATCTCCTAAGTTAGAAAAAAACCTCACATGGCGTCACTGATTATAGAGGCGAGAGTGACGTCATATTATATTGCTATTTTTCTATCTAGAAGACGACATTTTCCGTACATTGGATCCCATCGACTATCAAGAGTAACCAACCTTATTATACAACGTTGGTCAATATATTGCTAAAATAGAAATAATGCTTAAATGACCTGAAGAAACTGTAAATTTGAATGCCATGACATTTTAACGTAGTTCCAACAACAAACTTCTCTTATTCAAAGAAATGCAATTAAAATAAATGACATTCTAAAATGTTTTGTTTCTTTATTATCTTAGTAGATCCAGAGAGCTACTAAAATTGTCTGTATATTTTCTAGTCCTGGTCGCACACCCTTGGCCTTTAGTTTTACATTATCAAACTCACTTCTACCTTGTAGCCATCTCGTATATTTAGTGTTAGGGTTTTCTTTTAAAAATCAACCTGTGTATTCATAAAGCAAAAACATGACAAAAATGTACATAGTTATTCTTTTTTAGAAAAGGGTACCGTTGTAAATCGGGCATTACACTTATTTAATTAAGTAAGTGCAAACATGTCTGACTGATTTTTTAAAGCTTAAGAAGGTTCAATAAACTCATAAATGTTCAAAATATTGTTCATGTTCATCAAGCGGAACAAGATCTTAGTCTGATCGCAACATCAAATATTTTAAACTTTTATTTTATACCGCGACAGGCACAGTTCACAATTGAGAAATAAATTTCATTTTGAAGTAGGTTTATAAAGATAACCCACACCTTTTCAAAGGGAAGAATAACGGGGGCAACGCCATTATTTTTGCTTAAAGGTTTTAGATTTTTAAATGGAGCGGCTTTAGAAATTGTTCCTTGACATTTAGTGAAAAAGTTCGTTATTTTAAGCCGAACCACTCAACTTAGAATCTCAAAACCAAACTAAGAACATTCCCGTGGCTCTCCCGAGTTCCCCAATCAAGATTTATGGCAAATCGGTCCAGGGGTTTCTGAGTTATGATCGGACAAACTAAAAGCAGAAAAACAAATATAACAACTTTATATATATAAATTACCTTAAACACATAATCATTGAGTCACTTATTTTCTTCCTTTCTTTTATCTAATTAACTGTTTTAAGTCACACACTCAATTAGTCAGTTATTAACTCACTTACTTACAAACTCATTAAACCTCTAATTTTAGTTTAAAACTCGTTGAGTGAATTAAGTTCACTTTATACTAATTATCTCACAGTGAGCCCCGGAAAAAGAAGCTATTAGACTCGAGTAACGATATTAAAAGGTCCAGAGAACATTACATAGATGTATATATATATATATATATATATTCAAACAATANTAATTTACCCCCCCCCCCCCTCCTGTCATTTTGATTATTTTTAACGATGGAAACGACTACCTTTATCGAAAAAATCCCCCAAAAAATGGAGTAAAATTATTCTGCATGTTCAGAGCATGAAATTGAATTAGAATTGATTTGAAACGTTTCACGTCAAACTAAAGTAAAATTCACGACTGATAGAAATCTTATATATTGTGTGTTACTAATCCTTGACTTTACATAATTGTTATTTTATTTCTTTAAACCTTGTTTCCTGGATACCAGGTATTCAGCATTTGTAACCAATTATACAGGGTGTTTTAATAAATATGAGAATTAAAAGACGACTTTTTGAATTTAAAATCTCCGACAATTGATCAAAAAAGGTTTTCCGCCGTTCCTTTCTTTTATATTTAGATGGATATTTAGACAATTTTCATTTATTTGACAAATTAAAAGCTGGCTAAACTACATCCTCGTCAATTTTGACGCTATTAAAAAGCAGACTAAAGGTAGGAAAACTAAGTACATATTGTACATATTGTACATATTGTACATATTGTACAGCATATTGTACATATTGTACATATTGTACAACATATTGTACATATTGTACAGCATATTGTACATATTGTTTTTGGTACACTCTGAAGCACTAGGACGCTAGTGTTTTGAAAATTATACGTTTACAACATGAAATCCTTCTCTTCCTGGTTTATAATTATTCCTGTTCTTATCCTAGCAGAGTAAATGACTTTAGAGGTCTAAACTTTTAAGTTTTGAATCTCAAGATCAAGCGGTGTAATCCATTATTTATAAAAAAAATATTTCTTTTAGATACTTCTTGGTCGAAAGACTAATCAAGCACTTATCCCTCAAATTTCAAAATCGTCACATTGGATATCGAGATCAAACGCAAAAGATTCTACCTCTGTATAATTATATTTAGTTTATAGTTAATAAAAGGTTTAATTCATACATTTTACAACTCTCTCTTGTGCTTAGTCATTTTTGGAGAACTTAAAATACAGTGTGACCCAACTCAAATCATTTTTAAATTTAGAACATCTCGTTTAAATTTACGAACAGAACGTTATGGATTAAAATATTTGTGTGATATGCTTAGCAGTCTGTTCATCATTTACAACAACAAGTATATTCTAAAATTCGAAATGATAGATTGATATAACAAAAAAGCATGTCTAGTATTGACAGAGGGAGAAGGTGAAATGTATGCGACTCTGTGACCTTATAGCAGCTTCGCTGGTTTTCATTTTACGCAAAAACGAGAGTCTTTTTTACAAACTCTAATTTGCTTAACCCTATATCTTTGCCACCTGACGTTGCAAATTTTGATATTTCAAACTTAATTTATCTGACAGAATTCACAGTTTGAAATATCTAATGCATACATACTGCATAGTAATTTGAAAATCAGAGTTTGTGGCAAAGACTCAATTCATTTATTTGGTTACATACTAAAAATCAAAAAAAAAATTGGTTCTTATAAAAGAGGCGTTATGATCGTAATTATGTAAAAATTGAATCTAACGTAAACTTTACTTTAATTTGTCGTAAAAATGTTTGAGTAATTGGAATTCCGATGCGCGGAATTAAATTACTCGCAAGTAAAATCCAATAACGTTGGAAACCCTTCTTACAAGAATACATGAACTTCGTGAATATTTGAATTGAGTATTATAAACTATGTCATGAATATGTCAACACACTACAATGTTCCTTCTGTATAAACATATTCACAAATATTCATAGTATGGAAATATAGAACAAAAACAAATTTGTGACCAGCTTCTCTATGTTTTGATTTTACATACTAGAAAGTATATACACAATCCTTGCTTCTCTCTTATTATTGAAATAGGAAAATTTGTTAAATCTCTTTAATTTGGAAACTAAATATAAAATTAGAAACGAGATAAAACATTACTAAAGGTTTTCACGAGAATTTTTAAACTCTTCTAAACAATTGTATTATCACTTGATAAGGATTTAGAAAAATGTAACAATCAAATTTCAAATTAATTTTCATAAATTTTTTAATCCCTCAAAATCTAAACAGTGGACTTATTGTCCAGTTCTTTTGTTTCTTAAAGCTAAAAATATTTGTATTGCCTAGGCCCATATGTCTTCAAATTGTTTGCATACTTTTGGTTTTGTTTGCTTAACGAAATAACAATCAAAAACTTCTATTTTGCGCAACTGCAAAAAGTAATATTTCACTTTAAATTCTCGCAACTAAAAGATTCCACTATAACTTTAGAAAATACAGAAAATTGTAAAAAAAATAATTGTATTTTAAAATAATATGTTTTGAGCCTATTTTCTTTAGATATTTAAAGAATTCTGTCTATCTTTCTATCTATCTATCTATCTATCTATCTATCTATCTATCTATCTATCTATCTATCTATCTATCTATCTATCTATCTATCTATCTATCTATCTATCTATCCATCCATCTATCTATCTATCTATCTATCTATCTATCTATCTATCTATCTATCTATCTATCTATCTATCTATCTATCAGATCAAAGTAGGCAAAAATGCGAATCTATCTGTATCTGCGTTCTGCAGGCCT